ATGCACACACATGTACAGTAACTCAGATGTTCTACCACTCAGATGTCCCACAGCAGAGAAGTACTTAAATAATTATATAATATTAACCAGTTTATTTTACAAGTCTGTGAATATTTCATGTCGTGTGTGTGTGTGTGTGTGTGTTTAAGATTTATTTATTTATTTGAAAGAGTGAGAGACAGGAATCTTCATCTGCTGGATTCACTCCCCAAATGGCTGCAATGGCTAAATCTGGGTTTGTCCAAAGCCAGGAGCTTGGTGCTTCTTCTGGGTCTCTCATGTGGGCACAGGGGCCTGAGCACTTGGATCATTGTTTGCTGCCCTGCCAGGCACAGTAGCAGGGAGCTGGATCCGAAGTGAAGCATCCAGGGTCCATACAAATGTCCTGTAGATGCCAGCACTGCAGGTAGTGGCTTTAGTCGCTGTGTCATGGCACTGGTGCTGTCGTCTAATTTTATAGCTGTAGTTCAACAAGGTTACATGACTGACCTTGACTAGCACTGATAGAGCAAAAACTTAAACGAGAGCCACAGACTCAGTGTACACTGCTTTTCCCACTGCATTGATTGTCAGAGGATCTTTGCATTCTGTGTCTCCTCTTAAAGACAACATTTTCCTATGAGAGCATCTTATAGGTGGAGATTCTGTTTCCAACCTAGAACTCAGTGTTAATGTCATAGCTGTGACTAGCCACAAGCCAGTGCCATTCTTCTTGTCAGTTTATGATTTGGTTTTAGATATAGTGCCTACTATATAGTTGGGTGCATAGTTAATACTTAAATAAAACATAAGTAGTATATACACTGATATTAAAAAGTTGTTGAAATGTTTTAGGTTTGAGTGAGTCATTTATTTTTTTTTTTTGTTAACACAGCCTTCCCTGTTCTTCATCTCAGAGTTAGAATTTTGTCCAAATTATTTCAGTGAATTGTAACTACCTTCAAAATACATTAGGCTTGGTTCCTTCTCTCCATAAACCATTATTCCCCAACTATATCTCCTCTATATTGTATCTCTATTGAATGGAGAGAATATAGATTTGAGAGTCAGTTTACTTGGGTTTGAATCCTTGCTGTGCCTCATAGTATCTTTGACCTTGTGCAAAGTGTATAACTTCCCTGAACCTCTTTCCTCAGCTTATAAAATTGGAGAGACCACCTGTTTTAGGGAGAAGTAATCGAAAGTTCTTGAAATAACACACGAAAGGCTTAGCACAGATCCAGGTTCCTAGTAGTTAATAAATTACAGTTGTTATTATTGTCCCTAAACACCCTTGCTTCTCGTTGGCTTCCCTCTGCTTGACTCATAACCAAAATTATATTAATATGATAGTAAAATTACCAGAGAGCTCATGGCCAGCTGTGGTAAAGATGTGTGTGGTGAGGTAGTTGGGACTCAATAAATGTTTGTCAAACTGCATCTGTTTGGAAAGCCATCAGAAGTGAAGTGTGTAGAGGTCGATAAACTGGATGTTCCAGAAAGCTGATTCCGATCTGGATTACATTCAGTACAGGCTGGAATATGAAATCAAGGCTGATCACCCTGAGTCGGCAGGTGAGAAAAATCTAGTAACACTCTTAAAGGAAATGTCAATGATAAAGTCTCAATATCCAGCTTTGTTTGCATGCTTTGAACCACTTGCTACTGATCAGAAAGAAACTAAAAACTGCATTTGTACTACAGTGAATTAGACTATCACCATGATACGACAACTACAAAAGCAAACAGACCTTGTTCAGTCTGGTCCACTCACAGCCCTGGCTCTTGTACTCCCGGGTGGGAACTGCAGGCCTGCAGGGCTACAGCCTGGCCCAGCCTAGCCTCCTCCCAGCCCCAGCACCTGTGAGTGTCAGCTGTCACCACTAACTGAAGAAGAGAAGTTTGCAGCAGGGCAATTCAAGTTTCAAATGCTAGACCCATGAAGAAGTAGAATTCCGGAAGTGAACTTGAATGGAAAAGAGATCGATTCCAAAGAAATTTAGGAAAATGTCTTGTTACCACTTGGCTTCCAGAGGTGGAGCCTAGTGAAAAAGGAGGGTTGGCTTAAGTGTCTGGTTAATGATGGCTTTCAAACAAGATAAAATAAGAGAGACAGATATATGAAGTATAGGCCAAAAGATGGAATATGAATAAAGGATATTAGATATATACACACACATTCAAAGTCTTATAATTTCTGGGAAGAGTACCACTTAACACTGTTTCGCATCTGTTTTCACATAGTCAATATGGCATCCTGACCTATCATAAAAAGAACTGTTTATGCATAATTTCAGTTACTCAAAATGTGAATGAATTAAAGGATAGACAAAATGCTTGTATTAGACATATGAGTACCTCAAAATGTCTATGGGAAATGGGATTAAAAGTTAAATTTTATTTTGATATAAAAGTTGACATCCATGCACAGTTTTTCATAATTCACATTTTTCATGAATGTTTTGAAGTCCCCTCTAGCATATGTTGGTATATCATTTCATGTTTAAAATGTTGCTTGCATATGTGGTCACATTATTGGTATGAATGCCAAAATGTGATTCGTGGTCTCCCACAAACCATAGAGTAATAAACTGGCTTTTCTGAGGAGGGAAAAAAAAAAAAAGAGTGGTGTGTGTGTATAAGAGAAGAGGTCCCCATAGCCTGCAGTTTGGCCACACTGGGCTAAGATGAGACACATTAGATAGGGAATTTAGGGACTCCTGGATTAAATTACATGTTGTGATGGGGAACCAGGTGAGGAAGCATGGGAGACCTCAGCTCTGTTGGAGTGAGTGTGTATGTATGGGAGGGCCTTGGCTCTTTCTATATGACTGTCAGTGTGTGTGAAGGTTGTAAAAATTAAAGCTCACCAAGCAAATTGTCACATTGCTTCTAAAAAAAGAAGAAAACAACTACCCAAAGGAAAGCTATTTCAGTTGACAGTTGTTAATATAAGCATCCCCAGCTTTTTTTTTTTTAAAGATTTATTTATTTCTATTGGAAAGTCAGATATACAGAGAGGAGAGACAGAGAGAAAGATCTTATATCCATTGATTCACTCCCCAAGTAGCCTCAACAGCACACAGGTGCAGGGTTCTAAGGCTTTGGGCCGTTGACTCCTTTCCCAGGCCACAAAGAAGGGAGCTGGATAGGAAGTGGAGCTGCTGGGATTAGAACTGGTGTCCATATGGGATCCCAGTGCATGCAAGGCGAGGACTTTTAGCTGCTAGGCTACTGCACCAGGCCTCCCCATCCCTAGCTTTTATAACTAAGAATTTCATGGTGCAGTAACAATGATCATGTTTAACCAATATTGTCAGAATGGTCTGATTTAAAGAAAAAAAAAAAAAAGATGTTTTAGTTTAGTTGAAAGGCAGAGTTAGAGAGGGAGGGGCAGGAAGAGAGATATTCCAACTGCTGGTTCATTCCCCAAATAGCCATAATTGGGGATGGGCCACGCTGAAACCAGGGGTCAGGAGCTTCATACTGGTCTCCCACATGGATGCAGATGCCCAAGCAGTTGGGGCCATCCTCTCTGCTTTCCCAGAAACGCCAGCAGGGAGCTGAATTTGAAGTGAAACAGCTGGGACTTACACCAAATCCTTCATGGGTACCCGCTGCTACAGTACCAGTCCCAGGATTTTTTTTTTTAATATTTATTTATTGGAAAGTCAGATTTACATAGTGGAGGAGAGACAGGAAGATCTCCCATCCGCTGGTTCACTCTCCAAGTGGCTGCAATAGTTGGTGCTGAGCCAGTCAGGAACCAGGAGCCAGGACCTTGGAGCTTCCCCCAGGTCTCCCATGTCGGTGCAGGGTCTCAAGGCTTTAGGCCATGCTCCACTGCTTTCCCAGGCCACAGGCAGGGAACATGTTGGGAAGTAGAGCAGCCAGGATTTTACCTGGCAGCCGTATGGGATTGCACATATACACAGTGAGGACTTTAACCACGAGCTACCAACCTGGTCCCCATTTACAGGATTTGAAGTTTCATTTTATTTCCAACAGTAAAAAATTAGTATGCTCAGCTTTTATTGTAGTTTGGACATTCACTGACAGACCAAAAAACAGGGAATATTACTTAAGAGTTGAATGAAGTAATGATTATTTATTAAGATTTCTAAATTTTTATTGGAAAGTCAAATTTTACAGAGAGAAGGAGAGACAGAAAGATCTTCCATCCTCTGGTTTACTCCCCAAGTGGCCGCAATGGCTGGAGCTGTCTTTGTGAAGCTAGGAGCCAGGAGCTTCTTCTAGGTCTTCCACATGGGCACAACGTCACAAGACTTTGTGCCATTCTTGCCTGCTTTCCCAAGCCACAAGCAGGGAAGTTGAAGAGAAGTGGAGCAGCTGGGACATGAATTTAACCTGCTGCCCTCCTTTTTTTTCTCCCCTTCCCTTCCCTTCTTTTCCTTCCCTTCCCTCCCCTCCCCTCCCCAGAGCCATTCTCTGCTGATTTCTCAGATACTTTAGTGGGTAGCTGGATTGGGAGACACAGTAAGATCATCTTTCTGCTGATTCATTCCCCAAGTGGTCTCAGAGGCCATGCCAGGCTGCAGTCAGGAGCAAGCAGCCTCTTCACATCTCCCACATGGGTACAGGAGACCAGACATCTGGACCACCCTCTGTTGCACTCCCAGACATATCAGCAGGAAGTTGAACAGGAAGCGGAGTATCCATCCAGACACCCACATGTGGGCAGCTGATGGTTCAACCCACTATGCCACAGCACTGGACCTCTACCATTAGTATTTTATTTTGCTCTTTCTTAATTAACACTTATGTATATTTCTGTACTACCATTTACTATATTCAAATACTTTTTGTGTTATCATTTTTTGTACTGTAATATTCAAATGCCATTGTACTTGAAGAGATTTAGGCCATATGTTTTATGTTTTAGGTTCTTGTTTTACACAATAGCAAGTAATTCTTAGGAATAAATTGTAGCTGTTCTGTAGTACTCTAAAAACATTTAGATTTCAAATATAAATGAAGTTATTTGTCTTTTCTTCTCATAGTTCCAAAAGATGAGCCGTGGATATTCAGAAAACAACAATTTCCTGAACAATAACAACCAGATGGTGTTGGACATGATCCTTTATCCCTTAATTGGCATTCCTCAAACCATCAACTGGGAAAGTGTGGCAAGGTTGGTGCCTGGACTAACACCCAAAGAGGTAAACAACAGTTGCTCACCTATCTCCTGATGAAGCTTAGAAAAAGTAACCAATAAGAAGAGAAGTAGGAGAAGATAATTGGAGTGTTTATTCATTTGTGTCTGTAAATAATGCATGTGCATATCTATGATTTTAATGCAAAGTATATAAATGTTATGTTAATCCACTTGGTATATTTAAATTCAACATCTTACGTGTTTTACAACAACTGCAAAATCACTAATATCTTAATTTAAATGTTTAGAGTTTTAATTAAAAAATTGTTTATTCCACTATCTAGAAATGTTTCCCCTGTGGCTTTCTGGTGGTTTCAGTTTCCAGGTCTTATATTTTGAGTTGATTCTTGTAGTGGCGGGCGGTGTGGCACACGGCCAAGAGCTTGTCCAAGCTTTCCTCAGCATTTCCCTCTTGAATCTGCAGTGAAGCCGTACATGGCACTGTGGCAGTTACGTTCATTCAATATTTATGCTTCTCTCCTCTGAGATGCCCCTTTTCTAACTTCTGTTTTTTAGTGCCAATTCAGTTGCAAACAGAAAGAAGCTAAACAATGACACCGTGCTGTCATTTGATGAGGTAGATGATTTTATTAACATGGACCTCACAATCAAAATTTGAAAATCGTGATAGGGAGTAATCCTGTAATTTACCCATGAACACTGACCCCAGAATTTCTGCTGTTAAGAGAGACCTTAATGTGGTTGAAACATCTCACAATTCTAGAAATAGAAATAACTGATTTGCCTCAGAAGGTGTTAGCCATAATCAGAGCAATGTATAAATCCAACAAGATCGCCATCAAATACAATGACGTTATCCATATAATTGGAAAAAATATCTTAAGTTTCATGTGATTGAAGGACAAAAGATCTCCAAATAGACCATGCAGGTTTTTTTTTCAAAGATTTATTTATTTTATTGCAAAGTCAGATATACAGAGAGGAGGAGACACAGAGATGAAGATCTTCTGTCCGAGGATCCACTCCCCAAGTGAGCGCAACAGCCGGTGCTGTGCTGATTCAAAACTGGGAACCAGGAACCTCTTCCAGCTCTCCCACATGGGTGAAGGGCCCCAAGGCTTTGGGCTGTCCTCGACTGCTTTCCCAGGCCACAAGCAGGGAGCTGGATGGGAAGCAGGAATGCTGGGATTAGAACCGGCATCCATATGGGATCCTGGTGCATTCAAGGCGAGGACTTTAGCTGCTAGGCCACACCACCGGGCCCAACCATGCAGTTTTAAGTAAGAACAAAGCTAGAGACATCACAATACAAGATTTCAAGATATATAAGAGGGCCCAGCACAATAACCTAGCGGCTGAAATCCTCACCTTGCATGCCTCGGGATCCCATATGGGTGCCGGTTCTAATCCCAGCATTCCTGCTTCCCATCCAACTCCCTGCTTGTGGCCTGGGAAAGCAGACGAAAACAGCCCAGAGCCTAGGGACCCTGCACCCTTGTGGGAGAGCTGGAGGAGGCTTCTGGCTTCAGATCGGCTCAACTCTGGCCGTTGCGCCCACTGGGGAAATGAATCATTGGATGGAAGATCTTCCTCTCTGTCTCTTCTCCTCTCTGTATGTCTGAATTTCCAATGAAAATGAAATAAATCTTTAAAAAAGAGAGAGAAAGATATACAACAGAGCTATGGTAACAAAAGCAGCATGGCACTGATGTGAAAACAGGCAAGCAGATCAGTGGAACAGATTAGGAACAGATTAGGCAGCCAAGAAATTAATCTATACTTTGGATAAACGATCTTCATTAAATGGTTCTGGTAAAACAGAAAATCTGTGTGCAGAAGATTGAGGCTTGACCCCTTCCCACTGCCTTGTCTGTCATGGGCACTCAGGAAGTATGCGTTGAGTCGGTGAATAAGTCAGTTTCCAGCCTAGACTGATGCTGATGTTCCCATGTGAAGCCAGTATCAGCTTAGGCAACAGACTGTCTCACTGCACCACAACACTGAACTCCTCAACATCCTTTTTCAATTGCTAGTCTGGGTATTCTAAACTAATTTCATGATCAAACAATTGATTCAGGTAAAACTTTATTAAACCAAACTATGATAAAATGCTAATATATGGCTATGAAGTATTACCAAAGTACATTTGTACAAGGTCATCCTGTTAGTAAAACCAGAGACTTTATTAATAATTGTTTAAAACATTTATTTATTTTCATTGGAAAGCCAGATTTACAGGGAGAAAGAGAGACAGAAAGAAAGATTTTCGGTCTGCAGGTTCATTCCCCAAGTAGCGACAATAGTTGGAGGGAGCTAAAAGAAGGGACCTGGAAGGGAGCTGGAAGTGGGAGTAGCTAGGACACAAACTGGTGCCCTTATGGGATCCTGAGGCATGAAAGGCAAGGATTTTAGCCACTGGTAATGAATGTTAATAGTAATTTTATTAAAGACAATCTGACATCATAAATCAGATACTATTTAGGTTGCTTCCTATTGAAAATTAGAATTTGGGGTTTTTTTTTTGATGAAAGCTCAGTTGCTATAAAAATTTTTAACTGAATTACTAGTATTATCAGCTAATGATGGATGCAGATGAAAGGAAATATATTATCAAGGCAATTTTCTGTTTTGTGAAAGAACGTCACATTGTGCTTTCGGGTTAAAGCATCTTTTTAAAATATCCACCCTGAATGAAAAACAAAATTAGTTGTTACCATATTGGTATTTACTTAGAAAGCAATCACAGGACAGCATCTTCAAATGGAAAGTATCTTCTCTCTTGTTTTTTCCTTATAAAGACTTATTTGAAAGGTAGAGTTACTGAGAGACAGAGATCGCCCATCCTCTGGTTTTCTCCCCAGCTGCATGTCTGCAACTGGGCCATGTCAAAGCCAGCAACCAGGCGATTCTTCTGGGTTTGTAACATGAACCAACACTTGAGCCATCTTCCGTTGTTTCCCCAAGCACATTAGCAGGGAGCTGAATTCTAAGTGAAATAGAACACATATGGTTTGCTGGCATCCTAGGTGGTGGCTTAACTTTCTCTTTCTCTGTCTGTCTCTCTCATATTTTCTTTTTTTGGTACCATCCTTTATATATTAATTCCTCGTGTACAGCTGCTTGCTTTCTGGTTTGTTGAAGCAGTAAGTCAGACAGCATTCACCACGGTAATGTCTGTCAGAGTGACTGATGGTGAACACTCTAGCACCCATTCACCTGAAGGGTCTTGCTACATTACATAAGCAGCTAATTCTCCCGTTTTTGTACTTCAGGACACCTGACTTAACCTTTGTCTTGTCCTTATTCCTCTTTAGGAGTGGTGTAAGACTTCCTTTTCTTACCCCCACCACGAAGTCCCACACATGAAGAATACACTCTCTTTGAAAGTTGTAGTCAGATGAAGTCTGTCCGTCCTCCAGTGGTTTGCCAGTGAAGATCGGTCTTTGCAGATCAGGAAGAATACGTTCTTTATCCTGGATATTGGTTCTTACATTTTTTGTTGTATCCAACAGGTCAACCTCGAGTGTGGTAGTCTTCCCTGTAAGGATTGTCACGGAGATCTGAATCTTGGTGGCAGGCCCACAGCACATGGTGAATTAAAAAGGAAGGGTACCACTGGCCCACCTCACATTTTTTTAAATAATAATAATAATAATAAAACCCTTAGAGTGAGTATTTGTTCTAGTGGTGAATCAGTTGAAACATTTGCATTCCAGATCAGAGTGCCTGGGTTCAAGTCCCAGCTGCTTCCTGCTAATACACACCCTGGAAGGCAGTGGTGATGGCTGGAGTAGTTGGATTCCTGCCAGCCACAGAGGAAATCCAGATTGAGTTCTCCAGCTCCCAGCTTCTGCCTGCCCCACCAGAGCTGTTGCAGGCATTTGGGAAATGAATCTGTTGATAGAGAGTAGCTCGCTGCTGCTCAAATGTAGAGAGTAAAAATTTTAAAATCTCCGTACTTACATTTTTTTGTTTTGTTTTGTGTGATTATAGTGTGCTAAAAGGTTTGATGAACTGAAGAGCAGTGGAAACTCACCAGTTGACAACCAGTATAATCCCTTCATGGCTGCTGGAGAGAGTCCTGTTGAAACTTTAGCCACCTATATCAAATCCTCCCTTCTGGACACACAGGCAGATTTTCAGGACACTGCCATTGGTCAGGATGCAGTTTCCAAAACAGGTAAAGTTTGAGAACAGATTAATACTCATCCTTATGCAATTTCTACAGAATTACATATGTAATTCAGCTTTTCTTTGTTGAAAGGTTAATATAACATGAATAAAAAAATCTGTTAGAATTTGAATCTTCCTGAATTTAAAAAAATTGTACTTATTTTTGTTATACTTTAAAAACATTTGAAGTGTTAATATAAGGTCAAACACTATTTATTTACTTATGTATTTTTATTGGAAAGACAGATTTACAGAGAGAAGGAGAGACAGAACAGTCTTCCATCTGCTGTTTACTCCCCAAAAGGCCACAATGACTGGAGCTGAGCCAACCAGGAGCCGGTAGCTTCTTCCAGGTCTCCCGTGTTGGTGCAGGTTCCATGGCTTCAGGCCATCCTCTGCTGCTTTCAGAGGCCACAAGCAGGGAGCTGGATAGAAAGTGGAGCAGCTGAAACATGAACCAGTGTCCGTATAGAATCCTGGTGCTTGAAGGCGAGGATTAGCTAATTGAGCCATCATGCTAGGCCCTAGAGCAAACACTATTACCAAAGCAAGATGTGTATTATTACAAAGATTTCTTACGCCAGTGTAATGTCCTGGTTATTCCATTTATTACTTACTTAGAATATTTTTTATTTTAAATAAATTTTTTAGACGATTTAGGAATGTATATATATGCAAGGCAGAGCGACAGAAGGAAAATGAGATCTGTCTACTTCTTGAATCCCTGAATGCCTGATCTGAGCCAAGCTGAGCCTAGGAGAGAAATCCCATATCCAGGTCTCTTCCATGGGTGGCAGAAACTCAAATACTTGGGTTCTAGGTGCATTAGCAGGAAGCTGGACTGGAAATGAGGCAGAACTTGATCCCAGGCACTTAGACATGATGCATGGGCATCTAAAGTGGCAGCTTAACCCACAGTACCATAAGGCCTTTCCTTCTTGAAAGAATTTTAATGTATGGGTTGTGTTTCATTCATTTTTTTCTTACTGAGAAAGTCTAGCTTGCCTTTCTTAATTTTTTAAAAAATGCTTCTTCCTTGGGCCTAGCAAAATAACCTAGTGCCTAAAATCCATTCCTTATATGCACCAGGATACCATGTGGGTGCTGGTTCATGTCCTGGCTGCTCTACTTCCCTTCCAGTTCCCTGCTTGTGGCCTGGGAAAGCAGTGGAGGACAGCCCAAAGCCATGGGACCCTACAATTACATGGGAGACCCAGGAGAGGCTGCTGGCTCCTGGCTTCAGGACAGCTCAGCTCTGACTGATGTGGCCACTTGGGGAATAAACCAACAGATGGAGGATCTTTATTTCTGTCATCTCTGTAATTCTGACTTTCCAATGAAAATGAGTAAATCTTTAAAAATATATATATTTTTCTTAATTATTTAAAATAGAGTTACAGAAAGAAAGATGAGGTACAGACCTTCCATCCTCTGGTTCATTACTCAGATGACTCAGACTGGGGCTTGTCAAGGCCAAAACTGGGAGCCTAGAGCTACTTTGGATGTCCCACTCGAGTGGCAAAGGCCTAAGTACTTGGATCATTTTCCCAGATTGCCCATTTTCCCAGGCTTCCCAGGCATATTAGCACGCATATTAGCAGGGAGCTGGATTAGAAGTGGAAGAGCCAGGGGCCCGGCGCTGTGGCGCAGTGGTTAAGGTCCTTGCCTTGCACGTCCAGGATCCCATATGGGTGCTGGTTCTATCCTGGCAGCCCCGCTTCCCATCCAGCTCCCTGCCTGTGGCCCGGGAAAGCAGTAGAGGACAGCCCAAAGCTTTGGGAACGTGCACCCGCGTGGGAGACCCGGAAGAGGCTCCTGGCTTTGGACCGGCATAGTATCGGCCCGTTGCGCTCACTTGGGGAGTGAATCATTGGACGGAAGATCTTCCTCTCTGTCTCTCCTCTCTGTATATCTGCCTTTCCAATAAAAAAATAATAAAAATAAATCTTTAAAAAAAGAAGTGGAAGAGCCAGGACTCAAACCAGCACCCGTTTAAGTCCTGGCATCTGCAAGAGACAACCTAACCTACTGTTTCACAGTGCTGGGCCCCTCTCATTTAATATTTTTTAAACTGCTGTTTATTACAGTTGAAAGCTTCAACTGACAGTGGCAGTTGGCTTTGTACATATCACCTCAATGTCTTTCAAATCTGCTTTCTAACATTAGTAATTTTATCCATATTTTAGTTTTGTTTTTCAATATACTTCTAGAAATTGTAAGAAAAATGCCTTTAAGTATCTTGAGACCATGCATTTACAATATCATCATTTAATGCGTGATAACCGATTCTCAGCTGGAAATGCTAACCAGCACCCCTGCTTTTCTTTCTTTTTCTTTTGTGTGTGTGTGTGTCTTCTGTATTTAAGGAAGACGTAGTATAGCTTCCACAAGGAACTGTTCTTCTGAAAGTGAAAATTGTACTACTCATATTGGTGGAGAAAAGACTGAAGAATCTGAAGGGTAGGAGACTGGTTGTTCTCCAGACAAGATTTAATATTCATAACAACTTTATAAGATATATTATTGATGATTATATACACAAGTAACCGTAATGTAGGAATTCACATTATACAGTTGCTGAAGCAATTCAAATCATCTTAGTTCACAGGTAGAACTTAAACAGTTGTTTAATATCTAAACATAGGACTTGCTCATGCTGTTGTTGAATTGGACTATACATTTACATTTTTACAAATTCAATTTATATTTGACAGTACTAGAAGTAATGTCTGCACATTAAAACTTTGAAAAATGAAATTTAATATCTCCCCCCAAATTTTTATTTCTCCAGTTTTACTAAAGAAGCTAGACATGTACCATTAAAACTATTTAAGTATAATTACTCATTATTGAAACCTTGGAATATGTCTTTAGGTATGTTGTTTTGGCTTTTGTGTATTTTGAACAGGTGTTTGCTTTGATGAGTTTTGACAGATGAGTATACCATAAAACCATCACCCAGATCAAGGGACGGAACATTTTCATCATCCCTTACACTTCCTTTGTGTGCCTTTACTTGTAACAGTCTTTTTAATAGTAGCTTTGCTAATACATCATTCCCATATCATACAATGTACCCTTTTGAGAAACTCTGAAGGCAGTGAGTGTTAATGATTGAGGTATAACTAAGTGTCTTGAACTCTACACATAAAACTAGTTAAAGTGACAAATTTTATATCATGTATATTGGTATACTGTGCCATAACAAAAAAAGTTTACCTTTTTAAAATGTGTGGTTTGGTGATTTTTAACTGGCAGATTCATGTGGCACTAAAATTTGCTAGGTGATTTATTTTTACTGAACTTACCTAATAATTTCATATTGCCCAAAAAGCCGTAGAAATTTTGTTTTGTTAAATCAGTATTACCTGTTTATATTTTGACCATAATTTCTTGTGAAGAATAGTTTGTGAAGTCATTTGAATTTTTCTGGTACCCTAGTATTTCAAGTATATTTACTAGACATTTGTGAAATACAGTTAAAACACCGCACATTCATACTGTAGGCTAGTGTGTGTCTGTTTATTCTTTCCCTTTTGTTATAACACGAAGGTGATGGGGTTCATGCTGATGATTCTTTTTGAATTGATATGGTTTTCTAAAATTATTATAAAAAGTTCTTTCATCCATTGATTCCCTCCCCAAATGGCCCAATTGCCAGAGCTGCACTGATCTGAAGCCAGGATCCCAGAACCTCTTCCAGGTCTCCCACGTCGGTGCAGGGTCCCAAAGCTTTGAGACATCCTCAATTGCTTTCCCAGGCCACAAGCAGGGAGCTGGATGGGAAGCAGGGCTGCAGGGATTAGAATACCCGTATGGGATCCCGGCTCCTGCAAGGTGACAACTTTAGCCACTAGGCTACTGTGCCAGGCATGACGTGATACAATTTTCAAAGTAAATTCAAGCAGTGTATAATTTTTTTAAAGATTTATTTATTTTTATTGCAAAGTCAGAGAGACAGGAAGATCTTCTGTCCAGTGATTCACTCCCCAAGTAACTGCAACAGCTGGTGCTGTGCTGTTCCAAAGCCAGGAGCCAGGAACTTCCTCCAGGTCTCCCACACAGGAGCAGGATCACAAGGCTTCGAGCCATCCTCGACTGCTTTCCCAGGCCACAAGCAGGGAGCTGGATGGGAAGCGGGGCTGTCGGGATTAGAACCGGCGCCCATATGGGAGCCCCGGCACGTTCAAGGCGAGGGTTTTAGCTACTAGGCCATCACGCCGGGCCCAGTAGTGTATAATTTTTGAAGACAAGTTTTTGATGCATCATCTGAACTTGTTCTGAAATTATTTTAAAATATGTAAATACATTATTGTCCTAAGGTTTCTCTGAAGTATATTTTTAAATTTTTATTTATTTTATATAAACCTAAAAGCAAAATGTATTCCAATGAAAACTAAGCCGTGATTTTTTAAAAAGATGTATTTATTTTTATTGAAAAGGCAGATTTACAGGATGAGAGGTAGAGAAATATTTTCCATCTACTGGTTCACTCCCCAAGTGTCTGCAAGGGCCGGAGTTGAACTTATCTAAAGCCAGGAGCCAGGCATTTCTTCTGGGTTTAACACCACTGGTACAGTGTCCCGAAGGCTTTGGACCATCCTCCACTGCTTTCCCAGGCCATAGGCAGGATAGGATGGGAAGTGGAGCAGCCAGTATCGACGCTCATATGGGACCCTGGTACTTGCAAAGCAGGGATTTAGCCACTGAACCATCATGCTGGACCCCATGCTAAGTTTTAATAGAATTCTTTCATATACAGTTTTTCTTTTTTTTTTCCAAGTATGAAAATGTGGTAGCTAATTAATTATAATTTTCCTCTCATATTCATAATCGCCTAATTAGAAGTACAATTTTATGTTCCTTACAAAAATTAGAATATATTCATTTTTCTTGGCTAATTGTCATTGTTTTTATAAATGTTAAGTTAATATATAATTAAACTAAATTTAAACTGAAAATTAGTCCTTTAGTAAAAGTAGTTTTATGTTACTAGGATACTAAAATTAGTCGTGATATTAGATGGGTTCAGGTTGCTACAGTATTTTGAAAAGTTCTGAATATGAAGTCCTGTAAAACTCATTTGTGATCTAAATCTTCAAAAACTTCTTACTACTACACTAAGTGTTTATATTCTTGACTAAAGCTCTTAATAATTTCATTTCTGTGTAACATTTTTTATGAAGGCCAAACGTGGTTATCCATGTATGTGATGAAGCAAAAAATTTGAAAGAAGATTTTATTTGCCCACGAGATCTTTTGATATCTGAAATGAAGTACTTTGCAGAATATTTTTCTATGGATGCCCAGCGCTGGGAAGAAGTGGATATTTCAGTTCATTGTGATGTTCACATTTTCAACTGGTTGATAAAATATGTTAAAAGGAACACTGAAGAGAACAAAGACTGTGAAATGCCTGCCTTAGGTAAAAGACTATCTGTTGCTTATTTTGTAGTGAAAGCTGTGTGCCACCCAGTAGTTATATCAGCCCACAAGTGGAATATAGAAAACTGCTGGAGCCTTAGTATTTATGTACATATCAGTAACAGTCTTTAAAGAAACTGGTCTATCAATGCAATTATAAATATACTACATTGGCAGTCCTCAACAAGTAGTAAAGGGGCCACAGAGGCCCTGGAGACCCTTTTTAGACAGTCAACAGGTGAAGGCAATTTGATGAATCATTTCAAGATGTTCAGATGGTGCAGAAACAATGAGTGAAACTGTTGGAGCTTTCCCCCAGATGAAGGCAGAGGACCAAACTAGAGGCATTGTATTCTTCAGCACAAAGTACTCATAGTTAAAAAGGGAAAAAAAGAGAGAGAGGGAGAAAAGTACAGCTTCACTTAAGAATGTTGTTGATGAAGCAGTAATAAGTTACTGGTTTTATTAAACCTTGACCCTTGGATATGCATCTCTGATAACACTCTTTGTGATGACGGGGAACTCACTTCACTGTGCACCATTATACCATGGTTGTTTGGAGGAATTGTTTCAATCATGGACTAACCCAGCCAAGTTTTCAGAAATTGAAAACGTTTCTCACTAAAGAGAAATTATGCTTTTTTAGACATTTTCTTGAAGATGAACTTGTCACTTAAGTGGAAACTACTGATGATTTTGGTTTCAGATGAGGAATGAGAATTCAGAAAGCTTACCTGCTTCCGAGATCATCATAACACAGACTTTTCTACTGAGATTGGTGGTCGTATTAACAAATGTGACGTGTGTGTGTGTGTGTGTGTGTGTGTGTATGTGAGAGAGAGAGAGAGAGAGAGAGAGAGAGAGAGAGAGAGAGAGAGAATGAGAGTGAGACAAGGAAATGTTTCAACATTTTGGAGATCCTCATTACTTAATGGACCAATGTTTTCCAAATGACCAGTGCTTGATGTTTTCATGCATGAATTTAAAAGCCATTGAAAGTACAAGATGGGTTTTGATGTTAACAAAGCAGGATAACTTCACTGCTGTGATTTAAGAAGCCATTGCAACTGCCTACTTGTTCAATCTTATTCAGTCTTGGAATAACATCAAAGAAGGCTACTCAAAAATTGAATGCTGAGACAGGATCTAGCTGTCTTTTAGGTCAGAGATTGAAGAAGTTTACAAAAAATGTCAATAATATTCTACCTTGCTTTTATATTGGAAAATACATTTGTTATTAAAAAATGGTCAACATGCAAGAGGATTAGGAATATTCTTTTAAAATGAAAGAATATTAAAGTTTTTTTTTTTTATGTTTTTGGTTTGTAATAGTATAAATAATGATTGGAATAACTCACATCAAAGAAGTGCTTTGGGTGTCCTGAGACTGAAGTTTGAGAATCAGTGTTCTAAACTGTAACAAGAATAATTGCTAAGTCTTAGTGTACAGAGGCTTGCACTAAAAGTGATACTTGTTGCTTAATAAATATTTTAGTGCAATGGAGTTGGTATTTCCAGGAATACAAAAACATTTAACTCTTTCTAGTAAATATATCAATACTGATATGAAAGTTTTTCAGGAAAGTTTATAACTTATTATATTCTAGTAGCCAAATTAATAGAAAATATTCCTAGTGAACCTTAAAGAAAAATTACAAGATGGCTAAATCAAAATTTTTATCAAACTAATGCAGCTATGCATGTATGTGAAATAACAAATCAGTGAATGTAAGTCAAAAGAACATATATATATATTTTTTTAATTGTTATTAACATTGTATTATGTGATACAGTTTTATAGGCACTGGGGATTCCCCCCACCCCTCCCATACCCCTCCCCCCATAGTGGATTCCTCCACCTTGCTGCATAACCACAGTTCAAGTTCAGTTGAGATTCCTTCATTGCAAGCATATACCTAGCATAAAGTTCAGCATCTTATTGTCCAGATAAGTTCAGTGGCCTCTTGGGGAGACCTTCTCTGGTCTGAAGGTAGAGCTAATAGAGTAAAGTTCCGGTCAGTTAAAAGCCCCAACAAAACCTCAGCATCGATATACAACATTATGGAATTAATTGACATAGTAAGAACATATATTTTTGATATGGCATTTATGAGTGTAGTAAATGTAAAATAAATGGAACCCAGCTAGTTATCATGTTTTATTTTTTTGTTTGTTTTTAATTTATTTATGTGTAAGAGAGACAGAGGAAGAGACAAATGCCCACACAGCCAGGGCTGAGCCAAGGGTCTGCCATTTGGGCCTCCCATCTGGGTCTCCCACGTGGATGGCAAGTGCCCAAGTACTTTGACATCTGCTGTTTTGCCAGGTATATTAGTAAGAAGCCAGATCAAAAGTAGAATAGCCAGAATTCGAACCAATACTCTGATATGAGACAAGCCATCCCAAAAGGTACAGTAGCTTAAGCCATTGTACCACGATGTCCCCTCCCTCTCTCTCTCTCTCTCTTCCCCCGACCTTTTTAAGATTTGTCATTCTGTTAACTTTGGCTTTATACCATTGGCCTGCAAATGTGAACTTTTATAAAAGCAATCCTTATCCTAACCAGAAAACTACCACAATGCTTCATTTAATTGTGTTGTAGTCTGGTCATTGATTCTTAACTGGTATGAGGTATATAGCAGTTTCATTAAGAGCTTTTCTATCATCTACTCTTTTCCCTTCACTGTTCCTACTTCAGAAGATTTCGTCTAGAATTGCTCAGTAGAATAACATTGGAATTATTTATCTTAAACATTATCTTCTTACTATAGGAAAAATTGCTAGTATTAAGAATTTAGAAGAATTTTTATTATACTATAAAAGTAGAATATTATAGTTTTTTATTTTTCTTAAATATGCCTCATGGGAAATGACTGGTTTACTTAAACTACTGTTGTCAGCTGTCACTCTCTTTCCTTCTCTGTGTACCTGAAGTCTCACACTTTAGCAGCAGAAAAAGTTAATTTTCAGAATTTTGTTATTTTCAGAATTTTTAAAAATTATTTGTTTAGTAGCAAACAATGAGCTCTTTTTAGTTTATTTTTTTTAATGTTTATTTTTATTGGAAAGTCAAATGATTTACAGAGATAAGGAGAGACAAAGATCTTCTGTCTGCTGATTTGCTCCCCAAGTGGCAGCAACTGCAGGAGCTGAGCTGATCCGGAGCCAAGAGCCTCTTCCAGGTCTCCCACAAGGGGAAGTGGGCCATCCTCTACTGCTTTCCCAGGCCACAAGCACAGAGCTAAATGGAAAGTGGGGCAACTGGAATGCAAACTGGCACCCATATGGGATCCCAGCACATGCAAGGCAAGCACTTTATCACTATGCTACTGCGCCAGGCTCAAGATGTTTTATAAAATTACTTCACTTACAAGTGTGCTCATTAATCATTTTTCAGATTTCCTTACTCTGACTTTTCCATGTCTTTAGTTCAGGTCCTGTTACTCAATACGAACCCAACTTTAGGGCAGATTTACTAAGAATATTCTTTACATTCTTAGATATGAGGTTGAGTTTTCTTTTTTGTATCTGTGAATTGTAATAAGTTTATTTGAAATTGTCCTTATTAAAATACATAATCTTCAAGATGGGGAACCTGCTCTGAGGTAACCGAGTTACAAATAAAAAGAGGATTTTTATTTTCTTTTCTCTTTTCTCTAGAACCAGGAAATATCATTTCAATTCTTATTTCTTCAGAGTTTTTGAAAATGGATTCATTGGTAAGTATTTCTTTAATTTCATTTATTTATTTTGAGAGACAGAGAGGCGGGGAGCACTCCTCTCCATGGGTTCGCTCCCCAGGTGTCTGCAATGGCTAGAGCTGAGCCACACTGGTAAAACCAGGAGCTGGGAACCCAGTCGGGGTCTACCATGTGGACGACAGGGACCCATTTACTTGAACCATCTCTTGCTGCTTCCCACGATGCTCATTAGCAAAAATTAGAATTGGAAGCAAAGCCAGTACTTAACCCAGACACTGCAGCATGGTTTGTGAGCTTTCCAACTGGCAATTTAGCCTCTAGGCCACTCATCCACAATTAATACGTATTGATTAAAAATTATGTTCTTGGGCCTGTCACGATAGCCTAGTAGCTAAAGTCTTTGCCTTGCATGCACCAGGATTGCGTATGGGCGTCAGTTCTAATTCTAGCAGCTCTGCTTCACATCAGCTCCCTGCTTGTAGCCTGGGAAAGCAGTCAAGACGGCCCAAAGCCTTGGGACCCTGCACGCGTGTAGGAAACTCAGAGGAGGCTCCCGGCCCCTGGCTTTAGATCGGCTCAGCTCCAACCATTGTGGCCACTTGGGGAATGAATCAAGAGACAGAAGATCTTCCCTTCTGTATCTCCTCCTCTCTGTTTATCTGACTTTCCAATAAAAATTTTTAAATCCTTTTTACAAAAAAATGATTTTCTTTTGTTCACTATATTTTACTCTTGAAGTATCTAGGAAGTTCTAAAACATCTTCCTAGATTGGTTGTTAATTCAAGAATATAATTTCATTAGAATAAATTTCAGATGTTTGGGGTACTTTGTTTTGTTGGTAAGGAGTTGAGACTAGTGTAGTTGTATGTATTATTTGTTATGCCCGGAAAGCAAGCAGTGTTCAGAGTATACAGAATAAACTTGACCCCAAAAGAGGTTTTTCCCTATAGCCAAACTAAATTAAAATTGATGGTAATATATTTTATTTGCCATTTAAGTAGTTTCTTCAGGCATTTTATGTAGCTTTCATTTATGGTTCAGCAAACCAAGAACAGATGCCTAACTATGTATATAATTTTGTGTATCACAGAATTACATGTCTATTGCTTAAGTGCAATTGACAAAACATAAAAGTGTAATATAGATATATATATTTCAAGCTCTGACATTAAACATATTTATTTTTCTTTTTAATTTCTTTACCATTCACATTATTTGATATGATTTTTGTGGTTAGTACTTAAATATTTGCTTTTAGTTCCTGGTAAAATTCCACAGGGCAGAATGCTTCTTTGCTGAATTGGCAGATAGGAAGGTTTGTTTTTGTTTTGTTTTGTTTTCACTTGTATGTTTTATTTGAAAGAGTTGGAGAAAGAGGGGGGGGATATCCCGTCCACTGGTTCACTCCTCAAATGACTGCAATGACCAGAGTCGTGCCGGTAGGAAACTGGGAGCTAGGAACTTCTTTTAGTTCTCTCACAGGATCACAGAGACACAAGGCCTTGGGCCTTCCTCCACTATTTTCCCAGGCCATTAGCAGGGAGCCAGATCAGAAGTGGAGCAACTAGACTAAAACCTGTGCTCATAGGATGCCATTGCTACAGGCAGAGGATTAGCTCGCTGCACCAACACATCCAGCCCAGGAAACTTTTAAAATTTTGTTATTTGGAGTTTTTCTAATTCCCTACATTCTTTTCTCTTCCTAACCTCTCTTATTTAGCCACCCTGGTACAGGGAATGGCTACAGAAGAAAAAACAGAAACGGAGAGAGTCCTTACCTGTGAGTTTTAAAATCTAAGACCTCAAAAGTAATTTTAATGCTAACAGTAAAATATTTGAAAGAATACGTGACCTAAGTAAGTAAATACATCTCAGTTTGGAGAGAGTAAGGAAACAAAGAGAAAACCCAATAAAACTGAGACAGCCCTTAGCTGACTAAAATTTTGTTTGTGTTAGCCAGAGAAATTGTAACAGTTTAATTATAGGAAGTCACCTATCCTATGCACTTAAGTATATAGACTAAAATTTGTATCTGTCACAATTATGAAAGATACATTGTTACATACTTTGAAGAGACTATTTATTTGAAAGGCAGAGTTATAGAGATCAAAAATATTTTTAAGATTTATTTATGGGCCCGGTGCCATGATCTAGCGGCTAAAGTCCTCGCCTTGAACGCTCCGGGATCCCATATGGGCACCAGTTCTAATCTTGGCAGCCCCACTTCCCATCCAGCTCCCTGCTTGTGGCCTGGGAAAGCAGTCAAGAACAGCCGAAAACCTTGTGATCCTGCACCTGTGTGGGAGACCTGGAGGAGTTTCCTGACTCCTGGCTTCAGATCAGCACAGCACTGGCCATTGCGGTCACTTGGGGAGTGAATCATCAGACAGAAGATCTTCCTCTTTGTCTCTCCTCCTGAGGAGATCTTCCATCCCATGATTCACTCCCCAAGTGAGCATAACAGTTGGAGCTGAGCCAGTCTGAAGCCAGGAGCCCAGGATCTTCTTCCAGGTCTCCCACGCAGGTACAGGGCCCCAGGGCTTTGGGCCATCCTCTATTGCTTTCCCAAGCCACAGCAGGGAGCTGGATGGAAAGCGGGGTGGCTGGGATTAGAACTGGTGCCCACATGGGATTCCAGCACATATAAGGCGAGAGTTTTAGCCCCTAGGCTACCCCACCTGGCTTGAGATAAAAAAATCTTACATCCACTGTTTCACTTTCCTAATGGCTATTAGGGTCAGGGCTGGGCCATATTGAAGTCAGGAACCTTGAATTACATCCATATCTCTCACTGTACATCCATATCTCTCTGAGGCTCAAGTACTTGAGCCATCTTCTGCTACTTTCCCAAACACGTCGACAGGGAGTTGGGCAGAAAGTAGAGCAGCCAGGTCTGAAACTGGCACTAATGGGGTGCAGACCTCATATGCAGTACCTTATCCCATTGTGCACAATGCTAACCCAAATTGTTGTTTTAAAAAAGGTTGAAATATTTTTTTCTAGATACGTGTTTTCACAAAATAAAGCAGCTGAGACCACTTTGGACGGTAGATTAACCCAAATAGGTCAAGCTCTGTTAGTACCTAGTACCTAGCAATACTTGGATTAGACTTATAACAAATTTCATGTTTGAAAGTAATGCTATGGCCTTGTCCTTTGTGCTACTGTTTGCAACATTTATTTTGTTTTCTGTTTTATAGGTTGAACAGTGTATTCAATATTGCCACAAAAATATGAACGCTATAGTAGCTACCCCATGCAACATGAACTGTATCAATGCAAATCTTCTTACACGTATAGCCGATTTGTTCACACACAATGAAATTGATGATTTAAAGGACAAAAAAGATAAATTTAGGAGGTAACTTTTAAAATTTAATTTTAAACCTGCAGAGTGGCTTTGATATAGAAAGGACTACTGATATGAGGTTAACATAATTGTATCATTTGAGCATTGTTTGGGGATAACAAATAGGATACATAATGTGATTTGATATGTGCTTTTAAGAGATCATTTTGATTTCTGTGTGAAGAATAGACTTAAAAGATATTTAAAAAGAAAGACATCTGTTAGGAGGCTTTTGTGATCTTGTGATAAATTAAAGCATTTGCACTAGGGTAGAAGCAGAGGAAATGAAAAAGTAGATGAATTCAGGTTGTATTATTAGAAAGATTTGACAAATTTGTGAGTGAAATCATGTGAGAAGAGAGAGAGTACTCCAAGATACTTCCTAGATTTTCTGCTTGAGCAACTGAGTTGAGGTGTTGTCATTAATGGAGAAAACAAAGATGGGGTGGAAAAGGGTGGAGTGTAGAAAACTAAGAGATGAATTTGGGTGTTTTGAAATTATTTAATAAACTTGTTGGACATCCAGGTGGATCACAGGTAGATATATGTATTCACCTTCATTTATCACAGAGATCAAAGCAAAACACAGAAAATTTAGAGTAGATGAGGTTTGAAACCTGAAACTAAATGAGTTAGATGACATTTCCTAGGGCAAACCACGATCAGCTTTTCTTACATCCTGGGTGAGAACTCTTTACCTACCTTAAGGTGGTAATGCTATTGTACTCTTCTTTCAAAATTGCTGTTTGTGTCTAGTGAATATGTTTATGTGGTATGAGGTAGGGATCAACATTCATTTTTTTCCTTCAAGTAGATATCTAGTTAGCACAACATGACATGAATATATTCAGAAAACAACTGCTTTCCCACTAAACTTCAGTGTCTCCTTCACTGTAAATCAAATGCAACCTCCATTACTGCAGTTCCTATATTTTTTCTGTTGATTTGTCTGTTCTTTTATCAGTAATAAAAATCATTTTATGTGAAAATTTTCCGTAGGCTTGCATTCTCTCAAGATTGCTGCCTTGACCATTCTATGTGTTTCACATTTCATGTGAATTTAAGGAATTTTTAACAAAAAAATGTTTCTTTGCAAAGTAGAGCAACAGCGCTCCTGTATATTGATTAACCTTCAAAATACCCACAACACCTAGGGCTGAACCCCAAATTTGGGAGCTAGGAACTCGATCTGGTTTTCCCATGTAGATGGCAGGAACCCAGCTGCTTGATCTTCACTGCTTTCTCCCAGGATCCCCTTCACAGGAAGCTGGAGTCCAAGGCCAGGCCTGGGAACAGAACCCAGGTACTCCAGTGTGGAATGTAGGTGTCTTAAGCACTAGAGTGAACACCCGTGTTTTTACAAAAATCTTAACAATTGGCCTCTCTTTTTTCTTTCTCAGCCACAAATTTATGGAAATTTGGGCTTAATACTGAACATGTAGGTTAATTTAGTAAACCTTAACATCTTAATGTTTAAGTATTCAACCAATAGAATATATCCCTCCATTTATTTGAATATTGAAACATTTTGAAGATTTGTTTCAAAGTGTTGCAAAGAAGTGAAGAGAGAGAGAGAGATAACAAGTGAGAGAGAGGCACAGGCAAGAGAGGGAGATCTCTCAAATGCTTGTTTACTCCCCAGATGACCTTGATCACCAGGTCCTCAGGCAAAGCCAGGAGCCTGGAACTCCCGTCTGGGGAACCCATGTGAGAGACAAGGACCCAGGCCTTCAGGCTTCTCCTTTCTCAGGTGCATTAGTATGGAGCTGAAATGAAAGTAGAACAGCTAGTTTAACTCAAAATGAGCCCTCGTGTAGGGAGCTGGTATCACACAGGTGGTAGCCTAACCTGCTGCAGCATACTGCCTGCCCCTATTCTTTAATTTTTAAAAATTAAAGAGTTAGAGAGAGAGAGAAATGAGAGCTTTCCCATGTGCTGATGGATTCTCCAGATAGGCATAGTGGTCAATGCTGAGTAAGGCTGAAGCCAGGAGCTTCATCCGGTCTCCCACATGGGTACAAGGACTTAAAGACTTGGGCCATCTGCTGCTGCTTTTCCAGGTGCATTAACAGGGATCTGGATCAGAAGTGGAAGTCAGGACTTGAGTTGGCACCTGTATGGGATGCCTGTATCGTAGGTAATGATTTAACCCACTACACCACAATGCTAGCCCCCAATTTTTTCAGTAGTATTTTACAGTTTTTGGTGTATTTATTCCTAGACATTTAGTTTTTGATGCTAATTTGCTGGTCTTATTTCATCTTCAAATTGTAAGCAAGAAAGTATTGATAAAGGCTACCAAATTAGAGGCTCAGCAGAGAAGCAGCTTTTGAGAGACCTGAGGAGGAGAAGCTAGAAGTAGAAAGGAAAGCCAAGGGAAGAGAATTTCCAAGGAAGAAAAACCATTTGGTGACCAAGTATGTGGAATAATAGGGACAGAAATACAACCAATTGGCATTTGGTAGACATTTTTTCAGATGCTTAATCTACTAAAACTTTCAGCAGTCACTATTGGAAGTAGGCAGGTTCAAGAGATTTTTTAAATAGAGTTACAATGGTACTGACAGGGCACAGTGAGATAACCACTGCTTGTAAGGTTAGCATCCCATATGAGTGCTGATTCAAGTTCCAGCTGCTCCACTTTGAATCTCGTGTGCTGCTAATGTGCCTGAGCAGCAGAAGATGGCCCAAGTGCTTGGACCCCTGCCACCAACATGGCAGACTCTGTTGGAGTTGTAGGAAGTGTTTAGTTTGGCTTGGCCCTGTAATTATGGTAATCATCTGGGGAGTGATATGTCTGATGGAAGATCTTGGTCTGTCCCTCTCATCATAATAATGTTTTTTAGAAAAAAAGGAGGGTGGTACTAGATTATTTTTTTAAGATTTATTTTTATTATTTTCTTATTGGAAAGGCAGATATACAGAGAGGAGAGACAGAGAGGAAGATCTTCCGTCCGATGATTCACTCCCCAAGTGAGCGCAACGGCCGATGCTATGCTGATCCAAAGCCAGGAGCCTCTTCTGGGTCTCCCACGCAGGTGCAGGGTCCCAAAGCCTTGGGCCGTCCTCGACTGCTTTCTCGGGCCACAAGCAGGGAGCTGGAAGGGAAGCGGGGCTGCCGGGACTAGAACCGGCGCCCATATGGGATCCCAGGCGTGCAAGGTGAGGACCTTAACCACTTGCTCCACCACGCCGGGCCCTAGATTATTTTTATATGCTGATCAGAATGATCCACTGGAGGAAGATACTGATAATATAGAGGTTATCTAAGAATTTAGCCAGTAACGAGAATGAGACAGAAAGGAAGTATCCAAGTGCTTAACACTAGAAAATAAGAATAGATGCCTACATCCAGATTTGGCCTTTAATAGCAGAAAATATCTAGGAATAGTGAAGACAGGATATACATTTGGAATTAATAGTGTATATATCTAAGGCTTAAAATTCAGTCCTGTTAGTCATATGCATCATAGTGTAGTTGACATTTATTGAGTGCTTAGCATTATGCCTGGCAGTCCCTAGAAGCACATCATTTAATCCTTGTATCATCAGTCATATTTTATAAAGAAAAGAGGGTTCAGAGACTGTAAATAAGAGGGTCAAGATCACATACCTTGTTTCTGATAGCACGAGATTGCTGAATTCTCAAAATCTTTGTGAGTATGAAAGTTGAAGAACTGAGGAAAAGGCAGATATTTGTCAGTAATGTTTCTGGTAGAAATACGTTTCCTTAGAACATCAGAAATGTATTATAAACTCCAAGAGAAAAGTCTGTCTCTCGCAGGGTTCATTTATCTTGTACAAATAGGTCAGTGTTTGTTTTCTTCACTATGAAGTAAGTTTAGCAAAAGTACACATAGAAAACTAATTTATTGGTTCTTTGTTCTTAATAGTAAGCTCTTCTGTAAGAAGATCGAAAGACTATTTGATCCTGAGTGCTTGAATCCAGATTCTCGGAGTAATGCAGCGACCTTATACAGGTACGAAGTGTGTGTCGCCTCTGTCATGGTCTATAAAGCAGCTGTATTTTTTAATTTACCTCATGTAAAATTTTCTGCTTGGATTTTTTGTATCTTCTTTGAATTATAGATGCTGTTTATGCAAGAAACTTTTAACAAAAGAAACAGAAAGGAGAATTCCTTGCATTCCTGGAAAAATCAATGTGGATCAACATGGAAATATCATCTATATTCACATAAGGTGTGGCAAAGATTAAAATACAATTGTTTGGGCTTGGTGCAGTACCTTAGTGGATAAAGTCCTCACTTTGCATGCCCAGGATCCCATGTAGGCGCCGATTTGTGTCCTGGCTGTTCCACTTCCCTTCCAGCTCCCTGCTTGTGGCATGGGAGAGCAGTGGAGGATGACCCAAGGCCTTGAGACCCTGTATCCACTTGGGATACCCAGAAGAAGCACCTGGCTCCTGGCTTCGGATCGGCTCAGCTCCAGCCTCTGTAGTTACTTGGGGAGTGAACCAGCAGATGGGAGATCTTTGTCTCTCCTCTCTGTGAATCTGACTTTCTAATAAAAAATTTAAAAGTAAGATAAGATAAAATAAAATAAAATACAGCTGTTTAATGTGAATTGCTAGCATACTTACAAAAGTGCCATTTTTCAGGCATAGCACAATAGACTAGTGGCTGAAGTCCTCGCCTTGAATGCATTGGGATCACATATATAATCAATCCCCCTGGCCCCACTTCCCATCCAGCTCCCTGCCTGTGTCCTGGGAAAGCAGTCAAGGACAGCCCAAAGCCTTGGGACCCTGCACCCATGTGAGTCTCACATATGGATGGTAAAGGCCCAAGTACTTGGACCATCTTCCACTGCTTTCCAGGCACATTTGCAGGGAGCTGCACTGGAAGTAGAACAGCTGGAATTCCAGTTGGTACTTTTGTGCAATGCTGGTGTTATTGGCAGCTGCATAATCTATTGCAACACAATAGTACCCCACAGATTCTTAAATATTATATTGAATTTAGCAAGAGGATCAAAATTGCTTTCAGCTAAATTTTAGTGAGTGATGAGAATTCTTTGAAATTAGAATATCCTATTATCTATTTTTTCGAAAGATGTATTGTTATTTATTATTTGAAAGGCAGAAAGTTTCAGAGAGGAAGAAATTTTTGTAAATGATGGTTCACTCCCAAATGATGACATTTGATAACATGTTGAGCTAAACACAATGATAGTAACACTTGGAAAAGATGGCTTATCAAACTATGTTGTTTTAAACTTATTAGCTTGGGCCCGGAGGTATGGCCTAGCGGCTAAAGTCCTCACCTTGAACACCCCAGGATCCCATATGGGTGCTGGTTCTAATCCTGGCAGTTCCACTTCCCATCCTGTTCCCTGCTTGTGGCCTGGGAAAGCAATGGAGGACGGCCCAAAGGCCTGGGACCCTGCACCTGTGTGGGAGACCCGGAAGAGGTTCCTGGTTCCCAGCTTCAGGTCAGCGCAGTACCGTCCATTGCAGCTCACTTGGGGAGTGAATCATCGGATGGAAGATCTTCCTCTCTGTCTCTCCTCCTCTCTGTATATCTTTGTAATAAAATAAATAAATCTTTAAAAAAATAAACATTAGCTTAACAGAAATAATTTAGCATTCAATTTTTCATACCTTCTTTGTGTACAAAATAAGCACATACCCTAAGTGAATTTTATCTACCTTTCAGTACAGTCCACATTACACACATGTGTGGGGAATATTCTTGGGGAAAAATGACTAGTTTTAATGCATTTGTTCATGTTGCTTGCTTATAGATCAGTATAACAGTTGAGGCTTTTTTTTTCCCCCAGAGATAAGACTTGGGATGTTCATGAATATTTGACTGGTCTTTTTGAAGAATTAAAATCTTGGAGAGATGTGTATTGGCGCTTGTGGGGAACAATCAACTGGCTGACTTGTGCAAGATGTTGTCAGGTGAGCTTTTTTCATCAAGATCCTTCCATTCAGACTTTAAGAGCAAGTCTTGGATCTTCAATTTAATGACTATGTTTGGATAATGTCCAACATCTTTTTGAGACACTAACGGCAGGAGCAAAGGTCCCATTTGATGCGGCTTACCTCTGGTTTTATTTGTCTTGATGTGTTTCTTTTTATAATTATCATTGCAGTGATAATCAGTGCTTTGGTGAATTTTTAGAAATGCAATGAAACTTAAGTGATCAAGTCCATTTTTTTAAAGGAAAAGAAGTAAAGAATTTCTATTCCCTTTAGTTTTTTTTTCCAGCCAGTATCACCCACATTTTCCTTTAATTAGTTCTCTCTAACATGCCAGGCTGTAGCGACCATTGATATTTTTCTCATAGTCTTGAAATTTCTAGGATGTTGTATAGTCAACAGTAGTTACCCTTTTGAGATTTGTTTAAAATCTTTTATTTAACAAAATCCATTTAAATTTATCTGCATTGTTGCATGTGTCCGTTTATTATTTTTATTGTTGAATTTGTTGTCCATCTGTTAAGGGGCATTTACAGTGTTTCTTATTTGGGACCATTATAAAGAGAGCTTTGGTGAAAAATTCCATGCAGGTTTTCCTTAGAGCATACATTTAGCTTTCTTTTATTTATTTACTTATTAATTTTTTTATAATCTTACGTAGTTGATTAGGGTACAAAGAGTCAAGGGCTACAGGAAAGTGAGTAAGACCATTGTTTCCACACTATTATCGTTTTTTTTCTCCCTGTATCTAGGGTCAGGGGAGAAACAAAGGGAGAAGCCCCAACCATCCCAAGTCCCTAATATGGGGCATGCTCCAAGAATCCTCTCAAGCAGTTTTGATAGTTTAGCAGTTCTAAATTCCTGCCAATCTCGCCGTTCCAATCATGATGAAATCTCTTCAGAATTCACTGGCTGACATAGTCTTTTCATGATTGGGGTTCTGAGATCAGCAGTTCAGTTGAAGGGATATCCAAAGAAATTTTGTCTGAGGTGATTCCAGACCTGATTCTTGTGTGTGCTTGCCAGTACAGGGTCTGACACAGTCTGTGGCCCCAGTCAGCGTATGTACATGCTGGTCATTATAATTGCTGGGTCAGTTCTGTTTCTAGCCCTATCTTCCATGCGAAGCAATGGTTGTTGCAGTCCAGCCCGATCCTGCCCACTTCATACTTGATCCTCATGCAAATCAGTGGGAGCTGCAGCCTAGTTGGGACGACTTCCCATTACCCCCACCAGGCCTGCCCCCTACCCTGGTTCCCATGCTTGCAGACTTGTTCAGTGTGTCCCACATATCATTTAGCTCTCGTACTTGTCAGTGGGCATTGAAGCCTAGTTCAACCCAACAACCCTACTATCCAGCCCACACACATACTGGCAGGTGCATTTCTGTCTAGCCACCCCGCCCCTGTCCTGGTTTTCATGCTAGGCCACTCCCACTCCCCGATTATGCACTTTCCAGGTGGTTCTGGAGTTTAACTTGACAGATTTAGCCCCCAGTGCCAGCCTCTGCCAGCTGATGCTGTGGCAAAGTCCAACCAACCCTCACCCACTCTAATTTTTGCTTGCACCAGTCAGAACAGTCAGCCCAGCCTGGCTTTTCCCTGATCTAGCTCACATGAGGCCCACAGGTATTTGCCTGCCCTGGTCTGCCCCCATCTCAACTCACACTTCCAATGGGAGTGGTTGTCCAGCAGAGGAGCCCACATTCCCCCTGCTGGCATTGCCTCCTCCCTCCCTGGTTCTCAGGTGTGCTGTTTGGGCGCTGTGGCCACATCTGGTACCGCTCACCTCACCTTGGCATTCCGTAATGTGCACTGGTTTGTGTCACGAACATACCTGGCTCGACCCACACTCTGTTCTGGTGCTCAGATTCGCCATCGGGTGATGTGAATGGGTTCAGTCTGGTCTTCCCCCTACCTGTGCAAAATGTATGCTGGTGGATATCTCTTTCTAGCCTGGTCTGGGTGTCTCCCTTTCATGGTTCTTGCGCTCACCTGTAGAGAATGGGTCCCAACAGAGGAGTTTCCTAAGCTCCTCCATCAGAACCTCTCCCATTGCCAGATCTTGCTCATACTGGTGAGTCCATGGGCCATCCCTCCTTGCTAGCCTTCAGTCTATTCCGGTTCTTATTGTTGGATGTTTCAGCCCAGCTAAGGCTTGTCCATACCTAGACACTGCTCCCACATGGCTCAGTAGGGGCAGAGACCTAGCCTAATCTGTCCTACATCTACCCAGGTTCTCCAGAGCACCAGATGGTGCTGGCGTCTAGCCCAGCTAGGTGTACCCAGCCACAGTTCACACTTGTGCCAAGGGAGATTGCAGCCATATCCAGACCAGGTATACTCTCACAGCTCCCCAACCAAGCCTATTCCCACCCTGTATTACACACGTGCCAGTGGTGTAAGAGCCTAGTTTGGCATGACCTGTGCTGCATCCTGATGTCTGTTTTTCCTTGTGAGATAAGGTTTGCTTGGCCCTGCCTGGGCCGCCCTCTTCCAGTTGCAGCTTGACCCACCCCACATCCTATTTTTGGATGCACATTCAGGTGCTGCTGCCTTTACCTGCCCAGACTGCTGTTGGTTACTTAACCGTAAGTGATGGCAGGTTCCTCAGCCCATCACCTCATTTTCTCGCTCAGCCCATCACCACCCCAGCCCTTGAGCTAACCAGTGGGACCTGTATTTCCACAGGGTTGGGCTCACACTTAGAGAATCTACCCCCGGAACTGGTTCTCTTGCGTGCTGGTTGGTTTCTTGACCCTGTCAAGTGTGACCCATCCCCTGTTCCACCATTCAGTCAGGTACTGGTACCTAGCCTGGCCACACATGCCCCAATCCATAGCTTTCATGTGAACTGGTATGTGGCAGTCAGTGATACTCTACGCTAACAGTCCATCTCTGGATTCCCATGTGGCATGATGAATCAGTCTAGCCCAAATAGATCTTATGGACTCTCTGCTCCAAACCACCAGGTCTCAGTCCCCACATTGGCCCGAAAATTTCATTACCCTGTTACTGGGAATCACCCAGAATTCATCTCTCACCTACACTAAAACTGGCCTTATTCATGGGTGTCGCTAGGCAGCAATTACATATCCTACAAACCCCAGAGCTCACTGCCGGGTGACCAGCAGGAAGAGTCTTGCGCCTAAGAGGCATACTGGGCCCAAAGACAAGGACTTGGTCACTGCCTTCCTGTCTGTCTCTCCTCCTCTCTGTATATCTGACTTTCCAATAAAAATAATAAATAAACCTTTTTTTTAAAAAAAAAAAAGGTAAATGTGTATCAAGATCAGATTCATTAATCTGATTTTTTTAGTAAAATAATTTTTTGTTTTGCTTTAAATGTAATTATATGACATAAAATTTATGTATTATAAATTTTTTTTAGTAAATTTACAGAGGTACACAATAATTACCACCATTCAATTTTAGTACATTTCCATTAAACCAAAAAGATTCTTCTTTTTAATTAAAAAAAAAGTTTTATTGGAAAGGGATATTTATAGAAAGAAGAGATAGAAAGATATTCTGTCTGTTCTGTCACTCTCCAAGTGGCCACAATGGCTGGAGCTGAGCTGATATAAAACCGGGAGCCAGAGCTTCTTCGAGGTCTCACCCACAGGAGCAGGTCCCATCTTCTACTGCTTTCCCAGGCCACAAACAGGGAGCTGGATGGAAAGTGGAGTAGTCAGGACACAAAGCAGCATCCATATGGAATCCTGGCAACATGCAAAGGGAGGTTTAAGCCAATGAGCCATTGTGCTGGGCCCAAAAAAGATTCTTTGTACTTACTTGCTTCTACCTCATGTTCACCCCTCAATACGCAACAACACTAATCTATTTTGAGTCTCGATAGATTGGACATTTTCTGTACATTTCAAATAAATGATACACATAATGGTCTTCAATAAATACTTCCACGATTTCATTCTGTGGATAACAATGGATTTTGTATGTTTGATTTCTCTAGCCTTTTCTCTGTATTGAGTTTTCACATTGTCAGTACCACTCAGAAGCAGTGGTTTACCCTACCACCGTGAGTTCACTGAGCACCGTGGGCACTGGAATTTACCCCTGTTGTAACCAGAAGGTTCTTCGGTTCGACCCTACTCCCCTTACGAAGGTGAGATTTGCATGACCCAATTCCAGTCCTGGCTGTTGTGGGCTTTTGGGGAGTGAACAAAGGATGGAATATCTCTGTCTCTTTGCACCTTAAATACAATTTTTCTCAGTGAGGAAGAGATCAGGATTTATTATAAAGCTGTGGCAACTGGGACAAGATGAAACTGGTAAAAAGTACGGCAGACAGACCAACAAAAGGGCAAACTACTCAATAGAGTGACTTAGCTACTTGACCATAACCAGTGTGCCTTCAGAGCAATGGGCGAAGTGCTGACTTTCCGTTAAGAGGTAGAAGGACACTGAGGGAAAAGTAGAATAGTACTGTATACCAAAACCATTCACAATGAATCCTATATATGAAAGGAAAATTAATAAAGCTATTAAAGAAATGCCATACAATAAGAGTTTGATAAATTAAACCTCATCAACCATGTTAAATAAATTAAAATTGAGAAGACAAGCTTATAGTTGGGGTAGAACATTAGCAATAACTATTTCCATACTATCCGTATGTGTTTTTCAGAAGTACTGCAAACCAGTAAGAAAAAAAGACAACAGAAACTGTACAAATTAAAGTGTAAAAAGGACAGCCTCATTTGTATCTGGGGAGATATAAATTAAAGCCACAATGAGGGGCAGGTGTTGTGACACATCAGGTTAAGCCACTGTGTGAGTCACATTGACCCCATGGCAGAATGCCTGGTTCAAACCTCAGCTCTTCCACTTACTCAACTTCCTGTTAATGTGCAACTTCAGAAGCAGCAGATGTTGTCTCACATACTTGAGTCCCTGCCACCCACATGATTCTGGGCTTCAGCCTGACCCAGCCTTGGCTGTTGTGGGCATTTGGGAACTAAACCAACAGATGAGAAATACCTCTCTTGCTCTCTGCCTTTTGAAAAATAAAATACATAAATCAAAAAAAAAAAGATAAAGAAAATACATCACAACCGTAGTAGAAGCCAGTGTATACTCACTAGTGTGTCCAAAATGAAAATCTAACCAAATGTTAGCAAAGATGCAGAATAATTGAATTTCTCATATAAAAGAATGTCCATGGCATTATTATTTGTAATAACCCAATTCTGGTAGTAACCCATCTACCCACTCTAGAAGAGATATACAAATAGTATATATTCATACTATGGAATACTATAAATTCTATAAATTAAAGCAGTGTTAATGTTATATGCAGTGGCATGGATGAACCATTTAATATTAAACAAAACAGTTGAGGCAAAACTAAATTAATAGTGTTTGAGGGTGCATCATAAAAGGGTAAATGCAAGGAAAGGACTGCCGTAAAGTTAAGAATGAGAATATTTAGTAGGAGGGAAGCAGTTATGATGGGAAAGTGGCTAATGGATGCTTTTGGAGTGTCACAATATTCTGTTTCTTAACGAGGATGTGAGTTATGAATATTTGGGTATTTGTTAAGTTGTATATTTATCTTTCAGTTTTTTCCATTTGAGCTGCATACAGAAAAAAAATTGCAAAGTAATTGTGATAGACCAAGTAAAGACTAAAGGCTATATAGTAATCTTGAAAAATGTTTCTAGGGCAAGTGTTTGGCACAGTGACCGAGATGCTACTCAGAGTGCCTGGGTTTGAGGCCCAGCTCCACTTCTAACCCAGCTCACTGCAGATATGCACCTTGGGAGGCAGCCGGTAATGGCTCAGGTTTTGCATCCCTGCCACCATCATAGATCTGAACTGGGTGCTGAATCTCAGCTCCATCTGGCGCATTCCCAGCTGTTGAGGGCATTGGGGAAATCAGCATGGAGAGATCACTCTGTCTATGTGTCTGTGCCTTTCAAACAAACAAGTGTTTAAAAATGAAATAAAGGAGTGTTTCAGTAACAAGCCTACCGCTCTAATTCAGTGTCTCTTACATGGCAGGGCTGTAAAGTGAGGGACCACATAGTTCGTCGTGATCAAGGTGAAAGTGGGGACTTGCTGCCCTGTCCAACTGCTAAAATACTGGATGATCTACACAAGCATAAAGATGTCATTGTTGTACCTTTTCCTAAAGATACAGCTGGGTGAGGAGAAATAAAAACAGCAGTAACCAACACTATTACAGCTTTATCCAGTGGTTCCCCCTTCAGAATCCTTAACCTCTTGTGCTTCCCAAAATCAATATCAGTCCTTAGATGGCTTGCACTATCTCAGAAAACCTTACTGAAATTGCATGTTGGATGATGTTAAGAACAACAGGATATGGCTAATCCATCAATCTGAGAACTAGAGGACCTCGAAAAGAGCCGTTTTCAAGCAGTATCACTCATAGCACCTTGCAAGTGTAATGTTTCCAGTGCAATGGTGCTCCCATATGTGGAATGACTTTTACTTGAGGAATTAGTAGATGAGTTAAGAAATGCAAATATGGGAATGAACATATAATCTGGTGATTAAAATGCACACCTCACATATCAAAGAATCTTCGTTTAATTTCTGACTCTGGTTCCTGACTCTAGCTAGAATCCTGCTGACACAGTCCCTGGAAGGCAATGATAATGGCTCCCAGCACTCAGGTTTCCTGCTGTGCACATGAAAGACCTGGATTGAGTTCCTGGCTTCCATCTGGTCCTTTTCTAACCATTGCAGGCATCTGGGAAGTGAACAAGCAGATGGGAGCTTGCTCTGCATGTGTGTGTAGTGAGAGAGTGGATCCCTCTCACTCACTGTTCTCTTTCTCTCTCAACTAAATTTTTTAAAAATTTAATATGAATGTTGAAGTAAAAAATTGTTAGGCACAGAAACTGTGTTCTAAAGAGTGATTTATAAAACATAAGAAATTTAAAATTTAACATTTTAAGAAATTTAAAATTTCTGTGTAAAACTGTCTTTATTTCCAGTGATCCCGCACTTGGCCCCTGTGATGAAAAAGGTCTAGAGTGTGATGGTCTACTGGAGCCCAGTACACCGTGGGGCCCCAAAACTGGGGAGCTCAATGCTGTGAGTAACTTGTTACATTTATTCTGTGTTTATGGGAAAAGTTGATGACATTTCAGAAGCCTAACTTGTTTAAATTGAACTATCTAATCATAGCAAAGTCTTAACTCTAATAGGGTTGCTGTCATGGGTCAGCAATAAGGCACAGGGTTGAGCTGCCACGTGCATATACTATCCCACATGGGTGTTGATTCAAGTCCCAGTTGCTGAACTTCCAATCCAGCTCCCCGTGAATGGCCCGCAAAAGGCAACAGAAGATGGCCCAAGTACTTGGACCCCTACACCCACATGGGAGATCTGGATGAAGCTCGTGGCTTCCACCTGGCCCATCACTGGCCACTGTGATCATCTGAATGAACCAGGGGATGAAAGATTCTCTCACTCTCTGCCTGTCCGTCTCTGTAACTATGTCTTTCAAATAAATACTCTATAGAAAAAGAGAGCTGGAAGTGTTTAACAGCAGCAACAAAATAGGACTAGTATGGTAATAGAGCATATTCCTCGCTCTCAGAAAATTAATAACTGATAGATTTAACTTTTGCAAAATAAAATAGCAGTTTTAGATGTTTTGTTATGATTAAATAATGTCTTAAACATTGATGACATAGTACATCGATATTTTGTCTCCTCCACAAACTGTGAACATTTTTTCTTACATTTCTATTGTAATCCAAAATATGTTTAAATTTTTTAAAAGGTCCAAAATAAAATTTTTAAGATGTATTTATTTATTTTGAAAGAGTGAAAGATAGAGGAAGAGACAGAGTCTTCCATCTGCTGGTTCACTCCCAAGATAGCTATATGGCAGCGTAGCGCTGGGCCAAAGCCAAAGCCAAAGCCAGGAACTTCATTCATGTCTCTGACATGGCTGCACAGTCCCAAACACTTAGGCCATCTTTCCCTGATTTTCCCCTCCTTTAGTGGAGAGCTGGATTATTTGTGGAAAAGCTAGGATACCAACTGGCACCCATATAGGATGCTATGTTGCAGATGACATATTTTGCCTACCATGCCATAATGCCAGCCCCTTCAAATACATATTTTTAAGGTGACCCAAAAGCTTTTATTCCTTTGATGTCTTTTGGTTACCTGTTAATACAAATATCTGTTTACTTCAAAACTTTCTGCCTTTGTGTTGATAGAGGTAGGATTTAACTGAGAAAAGTGAAATATTCCATATAAACTGCTTTATAAATTTCAGAGAGCTGTGTAAATATTCAGAGCAAATAGGTTTCTTGAATACCCATGTATGATCTGGTTCCTCAATTTATAATTAAAAAAAAAAACCTTAAAAACAGTCAGAATAGTTACAGGAGCAGACATTTGGAATAGCCATTAAGACACCTCTTGGGTTGTTCACAAAGCCTAGCAGAATGCCTGGTTTCAAGTACTGGTTCCTCTTGCTGAATCCGGCTTTCTGCTCATGTGGACCCTGGGAGGCAACGAGTGATAGTTCAAGTGGTTGGGTTCCAGCAGCCCACGTGGGAAAACCTGGATTGAGTTGCCAACTCCTGGCTATAGCCTGGTCCAGCTGCAGTTTTTGTGGACATTTTAGGGGAGTGAACCCAGCAAATGGGAAAATGGAATTTGTCTGTGTTTCTTTATGTCTGTCTGTCTCTCAAATTGTATCGTCTCTACATGCAGTTTACTTGTCATTTGGAAAGTGTTGATTTTTTTCTTCTAACTTCCACATCCGCCCTTAGGAAGGGACACTAAAGACTATAAATACGTCCATGTTAGCCAGAGTTTTAAATCATATCACAACCTGAGAAAGAACTATTCTTGTAACTATTTTCAGCTCTTATGCAGTATCCATATGAAAATAAGGAGCTGCATTCTGAGTGGGTGTTGATCTGTTGATCTGTTCCTGTGTCTTACAGTTCTTGTCACTGAAAAACTGGGCGTTGCAACTGGTAAGTGAGCAGTTATATTAAACTGCCATGGAACTCTTTCTTTTTAAAGTTTAGTTGCATTGAATCATATCAATTTCTTGTTTTGCAAAGTTTAGTTAAATGCACATCTTCCTTTTGACCTCCAATTTTGAACTTAGCGAAATGCCATTTGACTGTTTAAGACAGAGACTGACTCCATTATCTGCTACTTAAACCACAGGTTTCAAAATCACTTTTAAATCACATGTGAAACAACGAACAAAGAAGAAAATCTAAATTCTAACTATTTAGCTCTGTCTGCCAGTACAATGCCCTCTGCCATCAGTATTCAAAAGAATGGAATCGCAGTGTGTAAAACAGATGACAGACAGAAGGGACTGATGCAGGCAACTGCTGTAAATAGGATTAAGTAATTGGGGGCCACATTCACTCAGAGAATGCACACATGTGTTTGTGACTCTAATACTGGCGGTCATTGTATAGATTATAGTAAATTAAAAATCTCAGTATCAAGGCACATGCATTCAGTTGAGTGATAGAGATACAAGTCAACATGAGTGCTTATTACGTACTTACCGCTATCCTAAGTTCTGTGAAGGCAGTACGTACAAGTGTTTGATGTATCGTGATCCTGTCCTGGGTAGACATCCTTAGGGTCATTTCCCAGATGTTGTGCCACATACCCAGTGCTCATTTTAGCAACTCTTGTTTGACTCATTCATCCCAGCTAAACATATATAATGTACTGAAAAGAATTCACAAGAAATGTCATTCACATTTATAATCAGTGTATTTGTTGTGACTTTTTTTAAATTTAGAAACAACAGTCATTATTTTCAGAAGAGGAAGAATATACTACTGGATCTGAGGTCACTGAAGATGAAGTTGGCGATGAAGAAGAAATAACCAAGAAACAAAGTATTGACTTTAAAATCAATTTTTTTTGGTGAGCGGGTTGCCTTCTGAAGCCTGTGATAGGGGGCTGGCTTTACGGAAGATGGGGTATAACATAGAAACAAGGAAAGAGACTTTGTCAGGATTCTCTACCCTGATACCAACATGAACTGTATAATTATAAAGGAAGTGCAGTATGCTGAGAAACAGGCCTTCAAATGTGTACTTCAGGTATAATGTATTTCTCAAAATGGGTGGCTCACGTGGGATGAAATGTCAGCTGAACTGCGCTTGAGGTGATCTAGAGTACACTCAAACCGTTAAGTAGCAGTCATGGAAATACAATTCTTAAAATACTAAAATAATGATTCTACAACTCTGAAATTCTGTAATGATTTTTCATCTTGTAAGCTCCAAAAATGGTACAAAAACTGTTGGCAGTAACTCAGAATTTCATAGGCATTTGAAAACATTAAGAAAAGATTGCAAAGATGGTAAACTGCTTAATATTCCTCAAGGTAGCAATTTTGTCTTTTCCACTCGATAGAATTAAAAGACATATTTCTATATTATCTAAAATTATCTTCTGTAAATTTTTTTGATGTGATGATTTCTCTGATTTAAAAAAATCAATTTTTTATTCATTTTTTCCATTCTAGTTAGTCAAGAAGAGAGTGCTTTTACGTTGTGTTTTTTTTTGATAATTTATATGATAATTTACATGTAATAAAATTCACCCATTTCTAAGTATACATGCCACTGAATTTTGACATACATTGTATAAGCATCACCAAAATCAAGATCTATACTATCATTCTGTAAAGTTCCTCCAGGCCCCTTTACAGTTCATTGCCTTCCTCACTTCTGCCCTGAGGCACTACTAATCTATGTTCCATCACTGTAGTTTACCTTCTCTGGGATTTCAGTCCAGTGACATTATAGCCAGTCTTTTATCTCTGGGTTTTTTTTTTTTTTCCTTGTTATAGTATTGTTGAAATTCATCCATCTCATAGCATGTGTTTCTTCCTTTTCATTGCAGAGTATTTACTATTCTTTGTGTGGATGTACCATAATTTATTTGTCCACTCACAATTTAAGGAACGCTTCATTGGGTTATTTCCACTTGTTTGCTGTCATAAATATGCTTATGAAACTTGCATACAAGTCTGTATGGACACATGTTTTCATTTTTCTTTTTTTTTAAGATTTATTTATTATCATTTTTTTAAGATTTATTTTATTTTTATTGGAAAGGCGGATATACAGAGAGGAGAGACAGAGAGGAAGATCTTCCGTCCGATGATTCACTCCCCAAGTGAGCACAACGGCCAATGCTATGCCGGTCCAAAGCCAGGAGCCTCTTCCGGGTCTCCCACGCGGGTGCAGGGTCCCAAAGCTTTGGGCCGTCCTTGACTGCTTTCCCGGGCCACAGGCAGGGAGCTGGATGGGAAGTGGAGCTGGCTGGGATTAGAACCGGCGCCCATATGGGATCCTGGGCGTGCAAGGCGAGGACCTTAACCACTGCGCCATTGCGCCGGGCCCTAGATTATTTTTCTTGATAGATACCTAGGAATAGAATTTCTGGATCATGTGATAAGTATATGTTTGATTTTATAAGAAACTACCAGACTCCTTTGTGATGTGATGACCAGAACTGTATGAAAGTTCTAGTTGTGTGCTTGCATCACGACTTGCATTTTTAGTCCTTTTAGTTTTAGCCAGTTTGTTTAAATCTTTTCCCTTTTATTTTTAATTGGGTCATTGCCTGTTCATACATAAGATTTTTTAATGTATGCTGTAAGATACAAGTCCTGTGGGCAGTGTTGTGGCGTAGCAGATGGGGCTGCCACCTACCACTGGCATCTTATCTGGGAGCCAGTTCAAATACCTTGAGTCCTGGCAGTTCCACTTTCAATCTTGCTAATGCACCTGAGGAAGCAGTCGAAGATGACCAAGTGCTTGAACTAATTGCAAACCATGTGAGAGACCTTCAGGAAGTGCTTGGCTCCTGGCTCCTGGCTTCTGGCTTTGGTCTGGCCTGCCCAGCTCAAGTCATTGCAGAGATTTGGAGAATGAACCAGCAGATGGGAGATCTCTCTCACTCTTTCTGCCTCACCCCCTCTGTAACTTTGCCTTTCAAAATAAATAATTTAAAAAAAAAACACAAGTACTGTGTCAGTATCTTGCAGATATTTTTTCCCCTAATCTGTGACTTGCCTTAGATTTTTTAAAGGATTTATTTATTTGTTTATTTTTTGATTTATTTAAATGGCAGAGTAAGAGAGAGAGAGAGATATCTCCCATCCACTGGTTCACACCCTAAATGAATGTAGTCACCTAGTCTGGGCCAGGCTAAAGCCAGAAGCCAGGAACTTGGTCCTGATCTCTCGTGTGGGTAACGGGGACCGAAGCATTTTGGGCCCTCTTTCTCTGCCTTCCCAGGCACCTTGGCAGGAAGCTCAGTTCAAAGTGAAATAGGCAGGATTCAAACTAGCACTGTAATACAAGGAAGGCAGCAGGCCACCAGGCCGGGCCCATAATACCATTTTCAAATGCCCAACCAGTTATGTCCTTTAACAATTTTATAACACTCCAGGATGTCCCAATTGAATAAAGAGATGTGTTAGAATCTCCAGGCATGCCAGCAGACAAATGCAATTATCTAATTATTTTGTTTTATTCATTTTAGTATCTTCAAGGCTTCCATTTTTTAAACATATGCTAGGGTTTCCTATTTATGGTAATTTTACAAAGTTTCCCCTTTAAATGAAAAAATTGTGAAGGTGATTGCAAATAATTGATATTTAAGACATAGCTAATCAGGGTATTAGTCTTATTGTCTTGCGTTATTTTTAAAGAAATGCTTCTTTCTCTTCCTTTCTCCCCTTTTTCCTTAAACTGTCTAAATTGTCATCCAGAAGTGTCAAAATATTGGCTCCAAGAGTACCTTAATTCATCATATAATTCCTCCCAGTCTACCTCTTTCCAAGATTTTATCTCCTGCCTAAGCAAAAGCCATTAAAAAATGTTTAGGTGATTTTTTTTTCTGTGCTTCTTTTGTTAAATTTTATTTTTCTAGGCTATTATTTTTATATAACAATTTTAGAATTAGAAGGCAATTTTACTTTTAACTTCAGAGAAATAAATATGTAGTTTCACCCAACACTTATTTTTCATTTTATTGCCCTTATTTCTGCCCCTCTGCCTCTGCAAGGTTTTCATCAAATACAAAGAAGAACAACTAAAATGACCCTTTTTAAATAATTTCAGTTTGACTTCTCCATATATTTAGTTTTTACCTTGAGCCAATTAGTTGGTTTAGGAAAATAATATTGTATTTGTTGTTTAGAGGAAGCAAGTGAAGTGCAGCAGTTATGTGGGACCCATATTCATAATATTGACCTTCCATTATCAGGGAAAAAGGAGAAACCAAAGAAGTTCACTAAACAACCAAAAAAGCAAATGTCTTCTCCCTGTACTCAAAAGAAGGAAAAGGCATTGGAGAAGGTAACTTGAAATTGTACACTATTTTTCTGAAATTCATAAGAACTACGCAAGCAAGTGTAGTCAGGTAAAATCTGAAAAAAAAAAAGAATGGTTAATGCTAAATACCTTGCTGAAAAGCTGGCTGTGTAAAAATTAAATTTTTGTAGACTAGGATTAAAGATTCCTAAGATACACTGGCAGGTAAGAAAAGGAAGTTGAAAAATAATGTGTGTAGTGGCAAAGTATGCTACCATTGTATAATATAATAGAGGAGTATTTTATTGAATATGTATGGGAAGCTATTTAAGAAATTAATAAAATTGACTGGTTCTCAGAAGATAAATGAAAGTGTATAGGACAGTGGTGAGATGCTTTATGTTATACTTACTATCTGAATCTTTTGAATTTTTAATTCAAAAAAGTTGATTTTTAGTTTTGTAACCTTTAAAAATAATTCTTCTTTCCCTGTGATCTTGAGAAAGAGAAAAAGTCAGGTGAGTGTAAGAGAACAGTAGCCACCACAGTTGGCTAAAAGAGAAGCCATGGATTCCAAAAACTTGTGAAAGGATAGTGCCGAGACAAGACTCCCACAGTTGGACCTGACAGGTTGTACATTCACTTTGGGTCAGTTATCACAGCACATGAGTGGGATATTCTGGAAGAATATGATCTTATGGCTTCCCAATCAGTAGAGTTTAAATACTAGATTCATACCTCCTTCAAGAATTTTCTTCTCTGGACCCTTTTATTATGGATATAACGGTGTCCCGTGTGATCATTGCAAAGTTTTCATGAAGTAACACTTGTAAAAACTTTTGGTACTGTGTCTTGTACTCAAGAAATATGAATGCTGTTGTTAGCTGTCAGTAAATGTAATTGGACCTTATTGTCATCTGCTTTCTTCTAGTCGTCTTCTCGAGATGTGTCCCCTTTTGTGTAAGTATTTCTCTTGAAGCCATTTGGATGTCTGTCTACTCTTAATGCAGCAACAATGCTGATACTTGTTCAATTTTTTCCCATAGTGTGAGTATGCAGAAAAATAAGTGGGATGCTTCAAGGTCCTTAAGATTCAACCAGGATGCACAAAGAGAAGATGGTGAGTTTAACTAGTTGGAGTCTAAATGATAATAAAATTTCACTTTATGAAATACAAAAAGCCTTCAAAAGTTCATTAAAAATTCATATTATGAGGCCCGGCATGGTAGTCTAGTGGCTGAAGTCCTCTCCTTGCATGCTCCTGGATGCCATATGGGCACCGGCTCATAACCTGGCTGCTCCACTTCCCTTCTAGCTCCCTGGTTGTGGGATGGCCCAAAGCCTTGGGACCCTTTGCCCATATGGGAGACCTGAAAGAAGCTCCAGACTCCCAGCTTCAAAGGAAACAGCTCAGGCCATTGCAGCCATTTGGAGACTAAAGCAAAAAAAAAAAAAAAAAAGACTTGAGCTGGCACTCATATGGATTCCAGCATTGCCACCACAATGACAGCCCATAAATTAATGTTTTAGTTCCATTTTCTCAGTTTTTGCAACATCTTCCTATGCTGAATAATTTTGAAGGTTGCAGCTGAGATAGGCTCAGAATTTGTTTTTTATTTTACTTTGTCTTAGGCACCAGCCAGAGTTTCATTATTAGTTCCCATAGGTAATGTATTGGTTCATACATTTGTAGTTTTTGAAGTCTGAGACTTCACATTAAGATGACCAAATATGTTTTACACTGCTTTACAGTAATTAAAAATGATTACAGTTAACCACAACTGAGTCATTTTGATACTGTCTTAAATTATTTACAGATGGAAGTATATAAATGTGTCTGTAAATAATACCAGGATATGTTCCTAAGTCCTTGATTGAGTGCCATCAGTCTTGCTAATTTCACTGTTTTTTTCCTTCAGATCAGCGACGGATGTCTGAAATTACAGGACACTTAATAAAAATGAGATTGGGTGATCTTGACAAAGTCAAGTCAAAAGAAGCAAAAGAAGTAAGAACTCTTTACTGGACTTGTATAAGCTACATGCCTTCCTGCTATTATTTTCAACATGAAGAATATACGGATGATTTAATCAAAATTTAAGAAGAGTTATTTATTCATTTTCATATTCTGTTCCAGTTAACCAGCTCATTCCACCATCTCTTATTATCTATGTTTTTGTGTCCTCTATAACACACCAAATAGTATATCATAGTGGACAGTGTGAGATCATGCAAAATTAGCTTGTGCTTTGTTGACTGAATGAATGCTGGCTATCCAGAAGGGGTCTTTCTGAAAGCCCTGATTCTTTTCTAATCTGTATGTGGTACTTGTATGTCTTCTCTAGTACAAAATGCTAGCTTGCTGAAAATAGCTAGAAATACCTAAATTCTAACTAGAGTTACGTATAAATCATAACATATTATCATCTGTGTTGGTATTAAGTGTATGTCGTAAGTTTGGCCTCATTCTGTTATGTAAGAAATTGTCATAGTTTCTCAGCCTCTTGGCTAAGACCAAGTGTAGAAACTGTCAAGGCTGTTGTTATTATGGTGCAGTGGTTAAAGCTGCTGGTTGTGACATCAGTATCCCAAGTGGACACCAGTTTGTGCCCCAGCTGTGCTTCTGATCCAGCACCTTATGTTCCTGGGAAAACAAGGAAAGATGGCCCAGGTACTTGGGACTCGTACCCACATGTGAGACCCCGATAAAAGGTTAAAAAGAAATGATGATATCTATAATACTTTTTTCTTTAAATACATAGTTTTATTCTTAAAGATCTATAATACTTTTAAAAGAAAACAGGAGAAAAATATTTGGGAACTTGATTTAGGTAAATATTCCTTACCTATAACACTGAAAGTATGATCTATTAAAGAAATGGGCAGACTGGAGGTCATCAAAATTCTTAAACTGTTTTTGAGAAGCACTACTAAGAGAATGAAGAAATGAGCCACACATGGGGAGAAGAAAAACATAAAATCATATCCAAGAATAAATTTATATAATATGTAAAGACCTTTTCAAATCTATATAATACAGTAAAAGTACATTTGAGAAAGAGTGACCCAGGTACCATAAGAGATTTAGATGACAAATAAGCACACAAAATTAGCAAAATGTAAATGAAACTTTAATGAGATGCCAGAATATACCAACTAGAATGTCTCACATTTAAAAAATAAAATTCCTGTATGAGTGTTGTGCAGCAAGTTAAGTCACTGCTTGGGGTGCCCTCAGTGTGCCAGTTCCAGTCCCACTGCTGTCTCACCCAACTTCCTGCTAATGTTCAGGAAGCTGGATCCCTGAGAAGGCAGTAGATAATGATCCAAGTGAATGGATCCCTGTCATGTGAGAGACCTGGATAGAGTACCTGGCTCCTGGCCTTCACTGGCTGAGCCTTAGCTGTTGGGGATATTTGGAATGTAAACCAGCAGGCAGGGAGTATCTTTCTCCCTTCCTTTTTACCTCTCTTCCTTCCTATCCCACTATGTCTCCCTCCGTCTCTCTTTCTCCCTCTCTCTGCTTTTCAAGTGAAAGGGGCTGGTATAGTGGTAGGTTGAAACTACTCTTAAAATACCAGTGTCCTGTAAGAGCACCAGTTTGAGTGGTGCTCCATCTCCCTGCTAATATGCGTGGGAAAGCAGCAGGTGATGGACCCAGTGCTTCGGCCTTGCCACTTATCTGCATGGGAGACCTGGGTGCGTTTCCAGGCTCCTGACTTCCACTTAGCACAGCCCCAGCTGCTACCGCCATCTGGGGAGTGAACCAGCAGATAGAAGATCTTTCTCTATCTCTTCTTTCTGTAATTCTGACATTCAAATAGACAATAAATCTTAAAGCACGTACATGGGGTCTGGCTTTGTGGCATAGTGGGTAAAGTTGCTGCATGCAATATAGGCGTCTCTCATATTGGCACCAATTACAGTCTCGACTGCTCCGCTTCTGGTCCAGCTCCCTGTTAATGTGTCTAGGAAAGCAGTAGTACATGGCCTGAGCACTTGCACCCCTGCACTCACATGAGATGAAGCTCCTGGTTCCATCCTGGCCCAGCCCAAGCTGTTATATCTTTTTAGGGAATGAACCATCAGATTGAAGATCTCTCTCTCCCCCTCTCTTTCTCTGTAACTCCACCTTTCAAATAAGTAAAATAAATTGTAATACACATATAATAAATTAACTTATTTAAAAATCAAAGTACCAAGTGCTGGGGGAATGTGGAGTAACTGGAATTCACACACATACACACACACACACACACACACACACACACATATCCAGTATCAAGTTGGAATGCAAAAAAAAGAATAGTTGCTTTAGAAAAACAGTTTGACAGTTTACTTTTAGTATTTAACTATGTATATATTTGAGAGACAGACTGATGAACTGAGCTCCCATTAACTGGCTTTCTCCCTAAATGCACACAATGACTGGGGCTGGAACCAGGATCTAAAAATGAAAGCCAGGTCCCCAGTGTGGGTTGCAGGGACCCAATTCCTTGAGCCAGCCATCACTACTGCCTCTCAGGGTCTGCACCAACAGGAAGCTGAAGTCAGGAGCTGAGCCCAGGCTTTCCCGTAGGGGACACGGGTGTCCTAACCACTGTGCAAAATACCTTCTTTGGCAGTTTCTTTATGCATTTGCTGTACAAGTCAGGTCTCACATATTTCTTAGTGACTTTATTCATAATGACCCAAAATTGGAAATACCTCAGATGATAGCCTTTAAATATAGATAAACTACACATGTAAAAAAGAACAAATTGGAGATACACAGTGAATCTCATACACATTAGTCTAAATGAAAGAAAATCAGGTTCTAATGCAATGGTTTAATCGGCTAATCCTATTCCTTGCAGCACTGGCATCCCATACCAGTGCCAGTTTGTGTCCTAGCTGTTCTACTTTCAGTCCAGCTTCCTGATTGTGCTCTGAAAAGCAGAGTAAAACAGCTCAAAATCCCTGGTATCCTACGCCAAGGTTGGAGACCCTGAAGAAAAAGCACTGGGCTCCTGGCTTCGGATCAGCTCAGCTCCAGCCATTGGCAGCAATTTGGAGAGTGAACCAACAGATGGAAGATCCTCTCTCTGTCTCTCTTTCTGTCTGTAGATCTGCCTTTCAAATAAAAAATGAAGAAATCTTTAAAAACAATCAAAAGACTGTGTACTATATAATTGCACTTGTGTAAATGCTCTAAGAACTGCAGAATTGTAGGGTCTAGAAATAGAGCACTGGTTACATGGAATTGATAGCAGTAGAAGGATTTGCTTAAAGGAGCACAAGGGGATTTTCTTTTGATGATAGAACTGTTGTTTGTCTTCATTGTGGCAGTGTTTACACAACTGTGCATCTATCAAAACCCAAAACTTTACAGTAAAATAGTCACTTTTACTAATTGTAAAATTATGCTTCAAAAAGCTTAAGTCTGAAATATCCCAATAGAATTACTTCTAAATTTAAAAATAGATAGTATTATACAGATTTATTTATCTGTTATTTCAAAGAGTTGTAGAGAAAGGAGAGACAGAGATCTTCTGCCTGCTGGTTCATTCCCCAAATGGACTTAGGCCATCTTCTGCTGCAGAAAGCTGAGTTATAAGTGGAGCAACCAGTGCTAAACCAGTGCACATATGGAATGCCAGTGCCTCAGATGGTGCCTTAATGTGGTACACCACAGTACTGGCCCCAAAATATGTAATTTTAATAGTGCAGTGCTTATATTAATTCTTTGAAGGTAATTTAATTTTGCTTATTTTACAGTTTGCAGGAGGCATTTATTCCAGGCTCGAAGCACAGATCAAGGCCTCAGTTCCTGTCAGTGCCCGCCAAAGCAGCTCAGAGAAAAACACAAGGTAAAGCACCATAAACTAATTCAAGTTACACTGGCTTAGAAGCCACCTTGTTTTGTGTTTGTTTTTGGGTTTTTTGGGGAGGATGGGTGGGGAGCATGTTTAGGGTAGTCATATAAACACTAAAAGCACATAATTTGATTTTGTTTTAATGATATATTTATTTGAAAGGCAGAATTAGAGAAGGGGTGGGGTAAAGAGAGATAAAAGAGATCTTCCATCCACCTGTTGCCTCCCAAAATAATATGTGAGCCAGGCTCAAACCAGGAACCAAGAACCCCATCCAGGTCTCCCATGTAAGTGGCAAGGGCCGAAGCACTAGGGCGTCTTTCACCACTTTCCTAGGCACAGTGGCTGGGAGCTGCATCAAAAGCAGAGCAGCCTGATTGTGAGCCAGAGCTCACGTAGGATGCAAGCATCTATTAACCTGTGGCAGCTTAACTCACTGCACCACAACAGTGGGATCCCTGAGTTTAGTTTTAGTTTTAGTAATACATTTATCACACAGAATTGGGGGGACTGTTCCAGTGGGGATTATTAGGGACCACTCTGACTGGGCTGCAGGGCCCACTGCAGTACATGATGGCCGAGTGTGTGTTGGTGAGGGCTGGTCAGAGCAGGGCCTGATTTGTTGAGGATGAAGGGCAAAACAAATTGATGGACTACCCCCGTGAAACTTGACAGCAAATTTCTGGGCCAATGGAGACTCAGAGGCGAACTAGTTCAGCCAATAGACATTGGAAAGATTTCCTCATCCTTGAAGCGGCCATATCAGCAGCATCTCAGAACTACCAAAAACACATGAACAGAACCCTCAGAAAATGCTCCACAGTGGGGACCCTGGGATGACATCAGTTGGCAGTTCCCCAGTCCCAGGGTGATGCAGTGGTTGGGAGGCTGGGCGTGGTTTCTTCTCATATCATCCTTTCCCCAGATACAGGAAGAAACAGAAGAAAATGTGTAAACAAGAATCTCACTATCCCCTGATCCTCGACCCTTCCCACCCTGATCAAATATGTAAACATCATCACAAAATTTTTTAATGCCTTTATCACAACCTAATTTTAACTTACAAGTTAAGATTTTAATAAGTTTGAAGAACAAAGTTTAATGAAAGCATAAGGTGTAAGCATTTTTTGCTGCTTATTGAGCAGCCTTCTTTCTGAGTCAGCTGCTGATGAAACGTAAGCTATAGTGGCAGGCATTTCACCCAGCAGCTAAGACGCCCACAGCACTGTACCTGAGTTCAAATATTGGCCCCAACTCCTCAATCCAACTTTCTTTTAATGCAGACCCTGAGTGGTGAGATGTTGGCACATGGACAACCTGAACTGCAGTCCCTGCTCTCCTGGCTTCCATCCTAGCCGGGTACAGCCACAGTGGGCATGTAGGAAGTGAACCAGGAGATGGGAACTGCATGTCTGCCTCTCCCGCTGTCCTGTCTCTGCCTCTTATTCCTTCAAATAAATAACTATTTTTTGAAACAGGCTTTAATGCCACTATAATTAGCAGGTTTTTATATTTGTGGAATATAAAGTATTGCTTTATATAAATCGCTGAAATATTTTCCTTTATGACTTTTCTTAATAAAATTGAACTTGTGAATCTGTCATTTTTTTGAGATTAACAATTTTTGAGACTTGAACATTATTATTAACAGATCCTAATGCCTTATCAGTAATTCAGAAATCCAGACAGTTCAGAAATCCAAAAGTAGGTTTTTTCCCATTAGTTTTTGGCAATGAAAAGCTGAATTAAGTTGCTGTGATGTGTTCTATAATGTTTGTTTATCCCACTTAATGTAAATGTTTCTTGTGTCACTAAAGAAACATTGTATTTCATTATGGAAAACTGTTCCAAATGTGTCAGATTATGTATGTATTATAATATTCTCTCAAAAAAATTTGGATTCCAAAGTAAGAAATCTTATTCCAAAGGTTTCAGAAAATGGGCATTGAAGTATAATTTTTATTAAACTTTGATAATGTCAAGTAAATGCAATCTAAAGCCATGACAACTTCCTGTTGTTTTAGAAGCAGTTCTGACCTTCTTTTCTGTTTATAAAAATCTAGGTCTAAAAGTCGTTTTGGCCCAGGACGTCCAGCATAAAACACCATAAGATGACAAAAGGCATACTCCGAGACATCCGAAACTACTCCCTTGAATATCTTCAGAATGATGTCTTCTAAATGTTTAAGTTATTTATTATTAATTCTTACAAGTCACACAAATTATGCTAAGAGAAATAGTTAAGTTTTATGAAAATCCAGTTGTATATGTGCTACTTCTTAAGTCTGAGTTTCTTTCAATATGATTCTAGCCTGTATAGGAGACAACTGCGTATAAATTTGTTCAAGTCTCCCACTATTTGTTACACTTTATTTATTTCAAAGAGAAGAACCTAAACTGGGTGTTTGTAAAACCTTTAAAAAAGAAAGGACATGGCTGGTAGCTTTCCTGTGTATGTGCACTGACTGTAGTGTGTCTTCAGGGCTGTAAATTCTAGAACTGTGAGAACTGCACTTTGTAGGACGAAATATCCAGTGATGTGAATTTTCAGTTTGCATGAGTATCAAGAAGTTGCAGATCTTAAAACTTCATTAAAGTTTCAAGGGTTAAGTATTTCAGGACTGTGTTGGGCAGAGGGGCTAATGCTATAATATTAAGCAGTTTTTTCTTCTGTTTTTTAATGTTTATCAATCATCTGTGAAGCTGGATTATTATCTTTTCTGTAAAGCTACTGCTGTTCTGAATTTGTTAAAATAACTATTGATACTTGTAGTTAAGTCATTTCAGTTGTATGAGACACTCAGGGCTTTTAAAACAAACTTTGTTTCTATAGCCATTTGAAAAGCTCCTTAAAACAGCTGTGATTGCCAGATACTGAAGAGATGTATAAAAAGAAAATCCCCAAAATACAGTAATTGGGTGAAAAACTACATGTATTCAAGAAAAAATCAAAATTAATATAGATCATGTTTTAATTTTTCTGACCAGGCAGACTGCTCAGGGAAAACTTTTTTCCAAATCGTAAGCTTATAAATTACGTGTTTGGAAATTACCTGTATGGATCTCTGAAAAACTTCAAGATGCACTGTTTCTGTTTTTTAGTTTTTATTTGCCTTATAATTGAAATTTCTTAAAATTATCCAGAGAACATGCTTTGACGATGTGTGACAATTTCTACTGAAATATTGAAATGTTACACTCATTGTACATATTCAGAAATTATTATTTTTGGTAAGTATTTTAGTTGACAAATTAAGCTAGATGTTATACATATGGCTTCGCCAAGGTTTTTGAACTTTTGTTTGGGAATTTTGTTCCAGGTTATATTTGCTTTCATTGTTTGATATTTTGGAAATAGAGTATACTGTTTTTATTTTTTTGAAATGTTTTGTAATGCATTATGTACAAGTCCTGTAAATCTCAGAGTGTTCTTTGTAGCTTACTGATGCTCTGGTAAAGGATTTGCGTTTCTGTATGGAAGCAGTGCTGCGATGGTCACAACTAGAAGAGGAATGTATGCTCTTGTGGTTGATAACTCATGATGAAATGCAAATTATCTCTCCCCTGAGGGGCCCATACCACTGAATTGATTTTTACAGGTCAGAATTGAGCAAACTTTGGTTCATTTCAGTATATACTTTTTATATTTGTTACTGTCTGTCTGCAAGATGCTGCACAGGTTCTACGCATTTTCCTCAGACTATTTACAGTATTCATTTTGCCAAATACCTTGAGGTTTTTATCTTTACATTCACTCTGAATTCACATTTTTTTTCATTGAAATAAACATTACAGGAATTGTTGGGGGAGTCCTACGTCAGAATCATTCCCTCTTCTCAGAAGATGTCTGTTTTGGCTCTAGATTTTGCAAATTTTTACAGAAAAGTGGCTGCTTTCCACAATGAAACTTTCATGATTGTTTTGAATTAGACTGTTCTGGTAAAAATTGAGCAGAACTTTTCGGGATAAAATGCAGCTGAATAAAGGCACCTCGGAACTGGGCTGATGCACCTGACAGCTTGTTCTTTCCCTTCCCCGGAATGCTCAGTTGGATGGTATATGATGTTGAGTGCTGTGGGAGGTGAGGCCAGAGCTCTGACACGCTCATCTGCTAAAGACACATTTTAACATAAACCCCAGTCCCCAAATGCTTTCTCCCAATGCTTTGGGTTAATTCTTTTGTCATCCTTCATCAGGTCACTGAGCCGCTACTTGCACTGTCAGCTGAGGAATACAAGGTTAATGTCATTCCCACCATTATAGGATGGATTGCTGGAGGGATTAAGTGAATTGGTTTTACCTTAAAATTCTGGAATGAGAATTTGATATCCCTCTTCCTGTAACTTGAGTGGCTGCAACTAGCATGTGTGTGTGTGTGTTGACAACGATTCTTTGCTTGCCAAATCTTACATGTATGTGCCCTGAACTTCTCAACCTTCTTCTTGGCTGTCTGGGCACTTCCTTATAAAATCCTTTTAGCAAAGAACAAAAACTCCACCCCAACTTTGATACTTGGTCAGATTCCTATTCTACCGACTCCCAGATGCTGATCACTCCAGGCCTGTCCTCAACAGGCATCCCGTTAGATCAACTTAGCCAGAATCCTCTACTCCTAATGTTTACTCTTAGTAATTTTCCATACACTATCACCCACCATGACTAAATTCCCTCCTATCTGTGTGTATTCAGACCTGACCCCAAACTTTCTCCCACAGCAAGAGTCCTGTCTTGCACAAAGTGGTCCTACAAAATACAGTGATCCTGCATAGTTATCCTTGCCATGCTGTAACAAGTGTTGACTAACCTTCTTCAACTCTGTGTGTGTCTGTGTGTTTAGTTAGATAGGAGGACCTGATATTTTGGTGGTTGCTATGCATCATTTGGGACATTTTAGAAATCACACTAAATGTCTTGCCTTATCTAGACAGAGTTAAGTGGCATCTGCAGAAAGCAAAATAGAAAAATACTACTTGTTGGTAAGTGTTATTGGCCTATGCCGTTTTACACAGGCTTAGTGAAGGACAGTGGATTTGGCATGATCTTTTGCAGCTATCCTCCCAGGATATGTCTTTCTTTGAGAAACTGTAAGTAGTAGCTTGGGTCTTATTATTTGTCTATTACAAAGCTAGCTGTTATCAGACCAGAGATGGTCATGGTTCAGGTGGTTGCTATTTGTTGAATATTTAGTTTATGCTGAGGATGGTGCTATTTTAGTATGTGCGTTATCTCTTATAGCCTCATTGTAAACCCCTCAAACCTGATATTTTATTTTTTCTTAACTTTATTTTTACTTCATTTGAAAAGCAGTTCAGAGAGACAGAGCTCTCCTATCTGGTGGTTCACTCCCCAAATGCTTCACCAGTTAGGTCAGAGCCAGACTGACATCAGAAACTGGGATTCAGTCAGAGTCTCTCACTTGGGTGGCAGGGACCCAAGCACCCAAGTCATCACTCCCCAGGTGGCCCCAATAGCCAGAGCTGAGCCGATCCAAAGCCAGGAGACAGGAGCTTCTTCTGGATCTCCCACACAGGTGCGTGGTGTCAAGGCTTTGGGCCCTTCTCAACCATTTTCTCAGGCCACAAGCAGGAAGCTAGATGGAAAGCAGGGCTGCCAAGAACCGGTGGCCATACAGGATCCTGGTGCATGTGAGACAAGAACTTTAGCCACTAGGGTACCGCGCTGGGCCTGCTACTCCTTTTTTTAAACTGATAAAAGGACACTTTGCAGCCAGAATGTGATGTTTAATCAGTACACACAATCCACATGTTATGATTTCATCAGCCTTTGGGATGTGTGTGCAGTACTGAAAAAGACAGCCAATGAGGAGAGCCTTTGGTCCATTTCTCTATCCCATCTTCCCTTTTTAAACCTTAGGTTACATTCTGGAAGCCTGTGTGTGAAGGGAGCACATCTGTGGTGTAGCTGAGTTCTGTTGCATGCAGTGGGCTGCCTGTTTCTGGGTGCTTCGCAATGGCTGGTAGAATACTACTGGAGGTCTCTAAACTTGATTGCTGGAGCTCAGTCGCAAGCAGTGTATATATCTGTCAACCAAATATCTATCTTTAACTTGAACATGCTCTATATACATACCAAAAACTGAATAACTAAACTAAGTCTTTAGACTTAGATATTTGAGAAGCAGGAGAAAGAAGAGCAGGAGATAACTCCCTTCTTGTTGTTCCATCCCCAAATATCCACGAGGCTGGGGCTGATCTAGGCCAAACCTGGGAAGCAGGAGCTCAATCCTGGCCTCCCACATAGGTGGCAGAAGTCTGATTTCGGGAGTCATCGCCCCTACCTTCCAGTGTCTGCTTTGGCAGGACACAAAAGGCAGAAGCTGGAACCTGGAACTGCCCTCGGGTTCAGTCTTCATAACTGTTGAGTGGTGTTTGGAATTGGTTATAGGTGAACTTAGAAAAATAAAGTATCTTTTTTTAAGATTTATTTTTTATTTTTATTTTAAAAGCAGAATTATGCAGAAAGGAGGAAACCATCCAATAGTTCACTCCCCAAATGGGCACAACATCCAGAGCTGAGCCAATCAGAAGGTAGGAGCCAGGAGATTTTTCCTGATCTCCCACTTGAATTCAGGGGCCCAAGGACTTGAGCCATCCTCCATTGCTTTCCCAGGTCATAAGCAGGGAGCTGGATTGGAAATAGAGTTCTTCCTCCCTCTTAAGTTTGCTTTTCAGATAGATAAATAAATCTTTTTAAAGGAAGTTTCCTGCGACCATAAATCATAAAAAAGAAAGTAACTTCTGGGACCAAATGTGATGGCTCAATTAGGTAACTTTCCACTTGTGTGTCGGAGTGTCTTGTGGATGTCATGGCTTTGCTTCCAAGTCCAGCTGCCTGCTAATGTGCAGCAGTGATGGTCCAGATCCCTGGGTCCGTGCCACCCATGGGGAGGGAGAATTGATTTACAGACTTCTGGAATCTGCCTGGTGCAATACTAATTCTCGTGGGCAATTGAGGAATGAACCAAGGGCATGGAAGATTTTTCTGAATCTAGGCCTGTGTTTCTTTCTTTTTTTTTTTTCTTTTCCAAACATTTATTTATTATTTGAAAGGCAGATTTACAGAGAGAAGAGATTTACTCTCTGCTGGTTCACTCTCCAAATGGCCACAACTGTTGAGCTGAGCATTTCTAAAGCTCAGCTGATCATTTTCTGGATCTCCTATGTGGGTGCAGAGTCCCAACGACTTGTGCTATCCTCTACTTC